TGCACCCTTTGGAAGACCAGGAAGAAGTGCCATTGGAAGGAATTGATTTTGCATGGCAAGCAAGATAGGGCCCATGAGCAATGGGGCCCGTACACATTAGTTTTCATTTCTTTTCATTAACACAGCTGTGAAAATTGGCTTGGAATCTCTTTTACCTACAGCATTGTTAGAGTGTTGTACTAGGACTCGAGAGGCCAGGGTTCAAATCCCCATTTGGCCATGAAGCTCACTGGGTAACCTAGGGCCAGTCATTGTGTTTTGAGGATAAAATAGTGAGTAGAACCACAGCGGGTGGCGCTGTGGGTTAAACCACAGAGTCTAGGACTTGCCAATCTGAAGGTCGGCAGTTCGAAGCCCCACGACGGGGTGAGCTCCCGTTGCTCGGTCCTAGCTCCTGCCAACCTAGCAGTTCGAAAGCATGTCATAGTCCAAGTAGATAAATAGGTACCGCTCCAGCAGGAAGGTAAACGGCGTTTCCATGCGCTGCTCTGGTTCGCCAGAAGCGGCTTAGTCATGCTGGCCACATGACCCGGAAGCTGTACGCCGGCTCGCTCGGCCAATAAAGCGAGATGAGCACCGCAACCCCAGAGTCATCTGTGACTGAACCTAACGGTCAGGGGTCCCTTTACCTTTAGAACCATGTATGCCACCGTTCCTTACAGGAAGGGGGGCATCTAAATGTACTGGTAATTTTAAAAATTGCTTTTTAAAGAAAAAAGCATGGGAATACCTGTGCAAAGTGAAAAGCTGCTTAGTACACATTTTTATAAACAGAACCAATGTATGTTGTGGAGTTGGTGGCAAAATGACATCTGGAGGTTGTGATGTTACTTTTTTGAAAATCTTCATGGTTTTGAAATATTATTTTGACTTATTATTTGCCATGAAGCATAACTTGAACAATAAACGAATCAAGGGCATTCTAGAGCATTCACTTGGGGCAATGGTTCACATTTTAGTTTAAAAATACCAGTTGCTGCCAATGTATCTTTGCTTCCCCCTTTCTGCTTATTCAGGTGTTGCTCTCCCCCTTCCCTCCATCCCCTTCTATGTATGTCAAAGGGACTATTAATAGGCTTCAGAACTGCCAGAACAAGGACATCCAAATTTGATTCTCATGGGAGAGGAAATAACTGCTCCAGCTTGATGCAGATGGTGAGGTTTATTCCAATGCCACACTGGGTTTTTGCAAAGTGTTGCAAAAGTGACTTTAAACACACACAGAAAGAGAGCAGTGTTCTAGACATAAACCAATGTGCACGTAATTCTGCAAGTCAAGGCTGGTCCAAGACATTTTTCTATCTGAAAGGACAAGACAACCCACCCCCACTTCTATATAGGAATTCACAAGGCCAGTAATCGAATATTACTTCAAAACTGGCAATAATATGGTTTCCTCTACCATATCCAAGAGCAGCAGACTAAGGTGTGCAGAACACGTTGTGTGACAAATAAATTATTATCTTCCAACCATGCACATCTGCAGGAACCCCCACACCCATCCCATGAACCATGGAACTTAAGAACATAAGAAGAGCCCTGCTGAATCAGGCCAGTGGCCCATCTAATCCAGCATCCTGATCTCACAGTGGTCAACCAGGTGTCCATGGGAAACCCACAAGCGGGACCTGAAGATAAGTGATTCTGTGCATAGCATCCAAGACACGCATTCCATTTCCAAGAGGACTTATGCTAGTGCAATGGAACTCCCCCCCCCCCATATGTGCCCTGCACTCCCCCAAGATCTGTTCTGCAGGGAAGGGGGAACCCTCATAACAAATTTAGAGGAACATGGTTGAGGGAGGAGAGGGAGGAGTTCCATTGTACAAGGGGATGTCACTATGCTAACATAACTAGTTACCTAGAGCTGCACTAGATGCAACCACTAGCTTCCTTCCTTCCTTCCTTCCTTCCTTCCTTCCTTCCTTCCTTCCTTCCTTCCTTCCTTCCTTCTTTTTCAAGCAGGTTTCTAGCATTTGTAGAACCCAAGATATGAGACAAAATGTAGACAGTATTCTTATTTTTTGTGAGGTTAGCCTGCTCCCCAATTTCAGTATTTTACTTTGTGTCCCCCCACTTTACTTCCCCCCCCCGGGGGGGGGGGGAATCCTATGCACACTTGTGTCCAACACCTTGCAGCTGCTCCCTGCTTCCCAGCACCCACGATCTCAGACAGCTACTTCCTTATAGTAGGGCTGACCCTGCAAAAGATTTCATTGGCCTTCACATGATCCCCAACACCTGTGGAGGAAGGGCCAGAAGGCTGAGTGTATTCCTTAAAAAATAAATGAAAAAAATAAAGGAGCCCCATTTAGTTGTTATAGAAAGAAGTGGGAATTCAAACAAATGAGTTCTAAATGGAAAGTTTTATTTCATTTCAATTGAAGCCCTCCTAGAACAGCCCATACAAGTCACAGAAGGGTTACAAGAGGATTGAAGAGAGCAAGAACACAGTGTCATTTTTAGATTACTTATAAAATGGTGACCCCTTGCTATGCCTTATTATTATTATTATTATTATTATTATTATTATTATTATTATTGAAATCTGATGACTTGGGAGATAGTATTAAAATGCATAACCATTTCATGCCATCCAATAGGATGGAAAACATAGAACTTACAAGCAAAAGAACAACTGGATCTCCTATAGAAAGCAATAAGAAACATAAAGGATATGCCTCTTTTAAAACTCCTTCTAAAGTAGGAAATCTTTCTCTAATATATCTGCAGTGTTGACTTTTTGATGCTTTCAAGGAATAGGGGAAACTCTGGATGTATCTTCAATACCAAAGGTACAGGCAGCAGAATACTGGATAGCCCCCCCCCCTTGAAAATAATAGCAAATACAAACGGCACTAATGGAAACAAAATGAAATAGTTCCAAAGTTATGAAAAAGAACAAAAAGGAAACAAATAAAACATTCAATACTGAAAATAAACTGAGTAACCCCCCCCCTCAAAAAAATACCATTGTACATCCCTATGTGAAAATGAGCAGTAAGCCAATGCACATATGCAGATGTCAGATCTCACAGGCAAGTTCCAGATTCACATCTATCACTCACTCAGCATTTGCTGCGTTTGTCACAGGTGTTCTCCAAAAATTGCATCAGGGTCAAGTAGCCCATCCTACTGCTACTGACACATGCAGGTGTGAACATGTACACACAGCAGGTCTTCACACCAGTTCTTGTACGCAAAAATGCTTCCATGTGGCCTGGAACCCTGAGTGTCTGGGGCTCCAGATCAGGAGGAAAAATCTTTGCACAATACATGAATCATAGAATCATAGAGTTGGAAGAGACCACAAGGGCCATCGAGTCCAACCCCCTGCCAAGCAGGAAAGGCCCTGTCCTTGCAGGTGTTTGTACCATACATATAGAAAACAGTTGGGGTGGGGGCTATTTAGTGGGCATGTAGGGGCAAAGCCTAGTTCCCCTCTCATGTGTTGGGAGCATGCATTCTGAAGAGGGTCAAACATGGACTTGTTCCTCTTTACGTCAAGCATTCACACCCGTTAACATGAATTTGCACTTGTTCCAGTCACCCTATTTTGTGTTCTGTGCCTGGGGGGAAAGGAAACACTTTACATAGACAGACATTCACTGTGATTTGAGGTGCGTAAAGTAGGAGCCTGCTTCATGACTTTTCTCAGCCTCTGAGGCCCTTCCCAATGTTGCCAGAGTGATATTGGATGGTAGGGACGAGAGGATGGACTTTTTCCAGTGTGTATTTTGTTTACAGCATTTATACCCTGATCTTTAGCCAAGAAGGCTGTCAGTGTGGCTTCCAAAAATGTGTCCTAATAGGGATTGTACCCATATCTAGTCTATACTATACTCATCTGCTGTTTTTACTTGTATTTTATATTGCTGATTTTATACTTTGGCACCATCTTGAGTTGGAATGTGTCTTGAAAGACAGGGTATAAGTTTTATTATAAATATGTGTTGCCACAGGAAACTTATCAAATACTGCTGTACCTTAGTGAGGAACCACCACTACCTGATGAGCTTAAAGGGTTTGCTTTTATAAGTCCTTTGAAACTGTATAATTCCAACACTAGTGCATCCAGCTAACTGGGGGGGGGGGGAAGTAAATGACATCTCTCTCTCTCTCTCCCTTCTCCTCTCAGAAGCATGTATGAAGCCAATAGTGTGAATGACACTCTTCTTATGAAAAGGCTTACAGTCCCAAGAGAACCAGTACAGGTATATGCTATGATTAAGCCCTATAAGAATAAGTTAGGGCAGGGGTTGCCAACAATTTTTGCAGCACTGAGCACATTTGAAATTTTGAGAACATGCTCTGGACAGCAGTGACACCAGTTGCACAATGGTGCCACAGGGGTGTGGCATAAGGCAAAATGGCTGGTGTAGAGGCATGCCCTAACACAAAACATCTACCACATCTAAAAGAGCAGAAAAAAATAGACCTCTGAAATCTGCTCTAGGGTTGTGGGACTTTATGGAGCACATTAGAGGAGGTGGGCATGGGAAGAGGAGGAAAGGGAAGTATTGTGTGAGTGGAACTCTGATTATGTAGAATTGGATTCAACTTTATGTTAGAAAGAACTGGTGCTGGCAACATGCTCCCAGAATACGGCACCTATTCCTGTGTGACAAAAAATTAAGAGGGCTGAAGAGAAGACGTAAATGTCAGCAATGCAGGCATTGGCACAATCTTTACCTTACTCTTACCTCTGAAAACACACACACACACACACACACACACACTATTCCACAGCATGTGTACAATCTTAGTGGAGCCTCTTACAATTGAGAGGAATTTAAGTTCAAGTAACTGTAGGAGCTTTGATGAAAAACTAAGAAGATTCAAAACTAAAAATGATCAAAATTGTTTCACTTGGCAAACCTTATGAGTGAGTGTGAGTGTGTGCATTATAAAATATATCTTGTACCCATGGACCCTTAAATTTAAAGATGCTCCTCACAAAATTTCAAAGGAAGCAATAACAAAAACACAGATTTCTATGCTGTCTTTGGCATATGTCATGATTCAGAGAGAGAAAGCATACACTATCTTTAGCAGCATGGATGCAAGAACAACATACTATGTAATACAATACCGGCTACATCCTTAAGTAGAATGTAATACAACACAAACTTTAATGTCAATATATACAGAGCCTTAAAAGAAAACTTTTTTTTAAAAAAAGGAAGACAACCTGAACAAAATAAATACAATATGATACAAATCCACAATGTTTTGAGAAATGAATGTTATAACGTTAACAACAGGGTTGAAGTGGGTAGGACTTTTTTGTGACTTTAAATCTGTAAGAAAATGCTGTACCCTCAAATAGCATGTATTTAAACACTGCGTAATTTGCTGTCACATGATGCTTTTTCCAGGTTTTGAAATTCACAGCCAGGCACATGCCCAAACAGGTTCAAAAATGTAAACTAGGCAATGGTCTGGTTCCGACATAACATTGAAGACTACCTAGGTTAATTAACCATAGGTTCCCATTATGTCTGAAAGGGGGAAGCTATAGTTACAAAGCTCAGGACAAACCAAGAGCTTCAAACCTTGTTCCAATTTTAGGACCTATAGTTTACCACTTTAGATGTAAGAGGAAACTATGACTAACTCAAGTATGAAGAGGAAGGAAGCAAAGAAAGGGCAGTGAGGACAAGGCCCATGCATATCTTGGCTTTATACACAGAGTTGTGTTATGTCTGAATCAAACCATTCAGTGCAAGAATGCCAAAGTGCTTGGGACGGTGGAAGAATGCAGCATAAGTAAAAGTCAATTGCAACCACAGTTTTCCCACACCCCTTTTAATATGAACATTTCCATCCTAGAAAAGGGATACCGCTTCTGCTCATTTCTTCAGCAACTTAACTCAACACAAATTTTCAGTTTAATAAAACTTTTCTGAAGAGGGCATTCAGGAACTATATCTGGAAGAACTGCCCATTTGTCATTTAAAACTGCATTTACTTACATGAACCCCCCACCCCAAAAAAGATGGCTTTTGACTTAAATTTGTTTTTTAAAATTCACCTATTAGTTTCAGCTACTCAGTATCTCTACTTCCATTGCAAGTCTATATTAACACAGATAACTAATTTTATAATTATCCTCTAGCAATACTGCAGAGTGGGAGCAACCATCCCTCAATCCTCATAGGAGACAAGGGGCTAAAAACCACTGAGACCTTTCCCTGTTTAAGTTGTGCTAAAATGAAGGCAACTCTGCAAGGACTCTAATGCATCTGCACAACAACTGCTATTAAGTTCAAAGGGTGTGCATAGTAGAGTTTTCTAGCGCATTCATAAACTTAGCCACTGTGTAATTGGAAGACCCTTCCCTTGTTGTCTAACACAGATTGGGATCATACTGCCAAGTGCAGAATGAATACATTTCTGTACAGGCACGACCACCACTTTCCACCAACAGGACTATTCTAAATATGGGTATAATTGGTTTGCCAAAAAATATAGCTCCTATTGGATCACATACTAAAAGTAATCCCTGTATTTAATGCTAATGTATTTAAATGACGTATTTACAACAAAATTAACTAGTGGCTTTTAAAAAATGACAAAGAGTGCCCATTTTTAATAGGGCAGATTCAACAAGTGCTATAATATAAAATCTGGGCTTTGAAACACACATACCGTAATTTGGTTTACTGAAGCCATCTTGAAGTCACACAGGTTATTTCTCTTTATATAATGCATCTGAATACAAGTGTGTGGATCCTTTGCTGCTCCATCAATTGACACAGCTGTGCCTGTAGACTTTTCATGCTACGCTACTGTGTACTTGCCAGGAAACTGTTTCTGGCTTCCTACTTTTTCAGGGCTTCCTCCCTGTCCCAAAGGCAAGGTAGAAAATCAAAGAGGCTGTGTGCTGCAAGTTGCACCAGCATTACCCAATCTTTCTGGGTACCACTGCCCTAAAAGAAGATCATCCTAAGAAAGCAGCTTTGCCATAAAGATGTCAGTCACTGTTTTTTTCATGCAGTTTACCAAAGCAAGAGGCAAGAAAAGTGGGCCACAACTTGGAGAAAGACAAATGTGATTAAACAATACACTGATTTTCCAACAGGTATTTGGGCATGGAGAGCCTCACAGAACCCAAACGATGGGCTGTGATATCATGATAAATAATTTTGTCACATGTCTATGATTTCTTTAGGTGATTGAATTAAAGCAGCCTATGCACATGCACCCCAAAGGTAATTTTTAAAATTTGTATTGCATTTTAGCAATGTGCAATAATATTTCAAGATTCCACCTATATAATCAAATTGGAGGAGACAGTATGTTAATCACTCAGCAGTGGTGCTCTGAATGCAGTAGTCCTCGCATTGGGAGCTCCAATTAAGCACAGGTAGATTTTTTAAGGAAAAATATTTCACAAGAAGCAACACTTTAGATGACAACTAGGACACAGTTGGTGATAGAAAACTCTATGGGGAGGGTGGGAATCTAATCACACAGGCACAATGGAGTCTCAGAGCACATAATCAAGACCATCCAACTGGGATTAGTTGACTCATAGAATGGTTACATTTACCCTCAGACAACAGCCAATTCACACTAGCTAGTGGTCCTCATGAAACATCCACACTTTCAGTTTGCCACACAGAGATGGCAGTTCTATCAAATTTCATCTCCACATAGAGGTCCTTGTATAGGTGCCACTACCTAGTGCAACCCAGCTCTTAGTGCAGTAAAATTCATTCTGATAGGTAAAAGTCAGGATGCTAATCCACTTTAGCATATGGCAACCTATGGTATGATCATTCATTGTAGGGCTATCACTGTGGATGTTCTGTATGTGCTGATGGCACACACACAGAAATAATTTAGTATCTTTCAAATTGCCTGTCATGAGTCTCTGAATAAGGCACTTCACTCTTTCGGCATAAAAACAAAAAATGAAAACAGAACAGCTTTGCTTGAATCAAAGAAGTGGTCCATTTAGCATGGAACCCTATTCTGGTTTTATAAGGAAGTGCACACTAAATCCTATATTCCATCCCCTGGTATCCATTCTTCTGCCTTTTGGTGGTGAGGATGAAGGGCAACAATACATTTGGCTGGATGCCCTGATCCCCAATCCTAATTGACAGTGATGTTTCTAACTTCCATTACTGCTTTCCCTAGAGAGAATTATCCATGTCCTAGCCATCTTGCAGGGAAAACAAACAAAAGTCTGGTGGCACCATAAAAAGAAACGCATTGTGGAAACTTGCATGGATCACAGTCCATAAAATAAGATGTAACATCACTTTTCAAATCTGTTCCACATTACTTTTGAGGGGGCGGGGAGGTTTAAGAGGGAGAATGCCAGTACCCAGAGCTTTTTTTCAGCCGGAACTCACTGCAACTCAGTTCTGGCACCTCTCAGGTGCGCTCCATTGCCATTAGAAGTGAACAAGGGAGGCATTCATGGTGAATTCTGGCATCTCTTTTTCTAGAAAAACAGCACTGTCAATGTCTAGTTTTCCATTGCACAGAAGGCACTCTTGTCTTCTCCTACTCTATTATATTCTGTGCTTTATGCTATGTAAGCATAATTACAAACGTGAATAATTTTGTCCTAACAAACAATTCCATCTGCCACCCTCTTCTTTCAACATAGCTGGATGCTTCTATTACCTTACAGTCTCCCACAGATTTAGCTAATTTGGTATTACCAACAAACCAGCATTTGTTCATAGCAGCTAGCACAGAACAAGGAAGTTTTGAGCTCAAATCCCCATTCAACCATGGACCATGAGCCAGTCACTATTTCTCAGCTGGTTAATCTCACATGGTTTTTATGTTTCAACTCTAGTTCAAAGGATCTGTTGTGAAAGGTCCCTGCCCCAGGACCCAGGAGAGAGTCATTCAGCCAGAATAGACAACACTGGGCTATGTTTGCTGACAAGGTATAAGGCAGTTATATAGATTTGGGGAAAGGGAAGGACACACCAAACACACTATCCAAAATTCTTTGGAAGAGTGGGACTTTAAACTGTAAAATGTTAAGTCACACTTTCACTGATGAAATAAATGAGGGATCTATAATCTTCTTTACTCATATAATTTTATGCTCATAAACTAGGGTATATTATTGTAATGATTTATTGAATTTAGAAACTGTATTCTATTTCAGGTGTTCAGCTCCAGCTGCTCTGTTATTCCCAACGGAAGCATCAACAAAAATGATATGATCTCCCAGCATATTTAACAATATGTAAATAGTTAAAACTAGTTATGTTCTTCATATTTAGTCACATGGAATGGAGTTTCTTTTCCCTGACTGCATTAGTGGTTATTTCAAGAACTCACAATAAAAAAGGTGATGATATATTATCAACATGAGGGTTTTTATTGGCGGAAGGTTCCATCTGATCTCATCTTGCAACATCTCAGAAGCATATTCTGTGGCCAAATATTGTGAGATCATTATACAGTCTAGGCTAAGGCTTACTGAAATGTGCTTCTTTTAAAATTCACATCTTTGGGGTAACATACACCAGTTTGTAAATCCAATGTGGGCTAACATGTTAAGCTGCTGACCTTATGCTTAAGATTGGTTATGGCCGCAACAGCAAGAAATTGCAGACTTTTCTCTACTTTTTCCATTGAGACAAATTCTCCAGAACAGATTAAAAAAAATATTTAGAACACATCTCAAAGTTTAGATCTGATCCAGGACTTCAAAAGGCTTAAAATGGATATTCATCTTTGAAATGTTTATAAAGGGTCTGGAAAAAAACCAATGTACTAATTTCCTACAGAAAGTATGAATAAATTTAAAAACATTATGAAATGTGAATATGTTGGTTTTTTTAATTTAAAAAATCAGTATCTTATAATTCATGGTGAAATAACATCTAATGGTGGAAAGGGAAGGAAACAAGAAGAGAACACAGTGGACTATCAAGGTAGCTTCAATTGCCTGTCAAGAGTAATAATGGTAATTCTATAGGTTCTTGCTCTAGAGGGCTTGTATTTAAAACCTCAGTGCAGAAACAATTATCAGCCCTTCTACAGTAAATGAAAGGGCACAGCCCATGTTTTGCAAATGTATACAGTACTGACAATGGAACACACCTAATCCCTTATCACAGAATGATAATATTGTTGGAGGGGGGCTCATCTAGATCACCTCACAGTCCTAGATATTCTATACCTAATTGTCTTATTCTATACCTAAAGCATACCCAAAATGCCTACTCACCCTTTTCTTCAAAGCCTCCGAGGATGGAGATGTCACATGTATGTTAAAAATATAGTAGGCTTTATCATTCTAACCACCAACACCTCACAGCAGTCTTACACAAAAGCACTCCCAGGCTGACCAATCCTACAGTTCTAGTGATGGCTTTCACACTATGATGAAGTGCAGGTTCATGGCTGATTCCCTTTGTACATTTTCTTCAGTTGCCTGTTACTTGGGGCTTCCATTTTAGCGTACATGAGTTTTGCACCAGCACATCCTTTTCAGTTATACTTATCTTGCTGTACCAATGAGTTAAGTGAATGGAGTCCATTGGTAAAGTGACCAATTTACAAAACTAGAGCACATAAGTTTGATTTTGTTTCGTTATTTTACAATAGGGCCAGATAGCAAAAATACTAAAAACACTATTTTCTTTCAATTTTAAATTTACAACTTGAGCAGTGTTGATGGTCCCCTAAACCATTTATTTATAAACTGGGAAAAACTATACAGTATTTAAAAGTATTAACATAATGCAACAGATCTTTGAAAAGGACCGTGTACAGAAAACTCTTCATGATCATTATGATGTACCCTGATGCTTTGTTTCAATGAATCACTGACACTTCCTGCAAAATGTGTGATGAATCCCACTGAACCTGTGGATATCTTCTTTTTCTTCAACAGAATTCAAGTAGTGTAGGAGGAACTTGTATATGCCTTTTAAATCACAGGCCAGGCAGATACAGAGCCACTTATTGATTTTTTCTCTTGCTCCACTTTGGTTAAGTGCCCCGGTGGAACTATAAGTCGGTTGATGTTAGCTTTTTCATGCTCCGTCGTTGAGCTAAGCTTGAAGCTGCAACAGGCTCCAACACAGGCTGAAATGTCTTGTTATTCAGTGCAGAATAGGTGGCAGCCATGGCACCCTAAAAGACAATGAAATTAAAATAGATCATGATACCCTCATGAAGAATAACAAAACCAAAACCCCAATCTCCCACAGGTATCAACAGATTAATTAGTTCCAGTTTTACCTTTACTAGATGAGGTGCATCTTGCCTGTTTAGCTGGTAATGTGGCAACTGGTCCCTACATGCTATCCACGAATGCTTAAGAACTTGCTCTGCAGTATATCGCTGATGTGGATCTACATGCAGCATATGAGATAGCAAATCCTAAAGCAAATTGGACAGATACAACTGTTATAGCCAAATCTAAGCAGTGAAAGATTGGACCCTTTTTGTCTTATCAATCATATAATGACATTCAAGTGATCTTTCTTCTGAAGCAATTAACACTCATACAAAGAGAGAAGCCCAAATGAAAAAGAGCACCATGTGTGCATCAGAGCCCACATGAGTCTCTGAATTTTCCTCAGAGATTTAAACATACAGTAAATTCCAAAAAAGCAATAGAGCATGTTCTAAATTTTAATTTTGTATAAAACAGTCATGTTGCTTTATGTTGCTTTTGGCCAGCACTCATAACCCACTTAGGCATGCTGCAGATGTAATATTTCCATCTCTTACAGAGAACATTCTATGTGAACTATTAAAAGTCTCAATTGCATTTTGTAAATTCAGTAGAATAGTTTCAGAAGTAGTAAATTATACATGTTATCGACTTTTAAATAATTATTGATCAAAGGTGCTATATGTGATGAATACATATACTGTTTGCATTTATTCTATTCTACGGGTGACATCAAATGTTAGTCATACACTGAGTGGAACCACTGACGTCAATTGACTTACGTCCATTTATTTTAATAGGTCTATTCAAAGTTTGATTTAGTTTAATGTCACCCTATGGTTTTAACTGTGACCTTTCATACAGTTTTAAAATTCCACTGCTTACCTATAAATCTAAGCTAAACAAGAACTTCTGATTTCGGAGATGAGGTACAGTAAAAGTCTCAGACATCAAATGCCATAGGAAAACAGGATAATTGAATGTCAAAATAAATGGGCTCATAATTTACATACCATCTATTCATATATATAGAAATTTAATGAGTTTTTAAATAATTAAAGCTCATGCAACACAAATTCTACAACAGCAGCTTGGGTCTGAGTTTCGTAAATAACAAAACAGGTTGCTTTTTCTACCTCCGATAAATACCTTAGGAGCCAAAAGTGACAGAGACCAAAGTGATGCTTTCAGTTCTGCTTCAATACAAAATTACCTTTCAAATGTTTACAGAGAAAGGTCTTAAAGGTAAGTTTGCTGTTGATGTCATAGTTTGAATTATTGATCCTAGCCAAAAATGTTATTCTGATGTTTCACACAGTTACCTGTATTTTATAAATTATAAGATAAAATACATTTACACCTTTGCTGCGTCTGAAACAGTGTCCCAGTTGCCTCCACTTAAAGAAAAATTCCCACTGCCTATTCGTAACAGGATTTCCTCAGGGGTATCATTGGGACCATTGGCAAAAGGAGTATACCTGGGTTCCAATACAAAAGAACAAGATTAGAATAATACAATAATTTTAACAGACATCACTGAAGCCTATTGACTATGAGGTGTCAAATTTCATGTAGAATGGCACTTAGTTCACCTGTGCTAGACTATAGAGAAATAGCTACAGCCACATAAAAAAAAACAGGTATAGTGGTTAGTGTGCTGGACTAGGACCAGGGAGACCACTCAGAGATAAAGCTCACTGCATGATCTTGGCCAGTCACTATCTCTCAACCTAACCTACCTCACAGGCTTGTTGTGATGGTAAAACAGAGAGAGGGAGAAGTGTGCAGGTTTCAAGGCGGGAGTTGGGAGCAAGTCTGCAAAAACTTACAAGGTGTCTGTGAAGTTAACTCTTTATTCAAAGAAACAAAGAAGTGCAGGCCTAGCGATCATAGCAACTCTTCCCAGTAGATCTTGCCCCAATTAGGCCGTTAAGAGGACTGAAGGTCCCCACCTTCCACTGCTCTCTAAAGGTTCCTCCTCCCTTGGATCCTTCCCCAGGAACCTGAAGCTCCTTCATTTTGTCTCTCTTTGCTCTGCCCTATTCATCCCTCTTCATGTTCTGAGAGACCAGGGAGGAGGGGAGCTGGTCACAGCAGCAGGGGGAGACATATTGGCTTCTTCAGCAGCCTGTTTCCACTCTGCCTCTTGGTCCCCCTCCTCACCAGCCTATGCTTCTGCTTCTGGACTGCTCTCTGCCACAGTCCCTTCTTGCTCACTAAACCCTATTAGCTCTTCAGCTTCTCAAACCTCCTCTTCCCATTCTGCTCCCTCTTCTACTACTTATCATTGTCCTGCCACCCATCCCATGGCTCTGAGCCTTCTTCCCCTGGGGGACCCCCAGCTTGTGCCTCCCACCACTCTTCCTGCATCCAGCCAGTGCATGACAGTACAGCACCTTGAGCTCCTAGGAGAAAAGGTGGGCTATAAATATAATAAATAATAAAACATTCAGTGCAATGATTAAATGAAAAACACTTCTTACCCAGCCAACATTGTATAAAGAAGGACACCCAAGCTCCAGATATCACAAGCAGCATCATATCCCTGTCGCATGAGAACCTAGTGAAATAGAGAAGAATAAACAGTTCAATTTTTCTGTCATGAAAAGACTGTAATTTGAAAGTCCCAACCAACAGCTTAAAAGAAAATCTCAAAAATATGCTAGTTACAATAGCTATGATTTCAGAAATGTTCTGGTTAAAGATGACAACAGTTAATATTGAAAATTGGTTTCTATGCATCTGCTTTAACAGTTAAAAGAACAAAACGTATTGTTAACATCTTTATTTTGCAAAGCTTTGTTAACTGCCTTGAGCTATGAGAACAGCTCTCTATAAATGTAATAAGTAAACAATTTGATTAAAAAGTAACAAAACAATTAGAAGATACAAGGCAAATAGATAATATAATGTAACTACTTTCTTGAGATGTCACAAGAGCATGTGCAAATAATATACAAGAAATTCAGCATACCTCTGGCGCTACAAAGTTGGCAGTGTAGCAGGGGGTTAAGAGAAGCCCATTCTCCCCCCGAAGTTGCTTTGCAAAACCAAAATCACAGATCCTGATGGAGTCAGCATTATTTGAGTCATCCATATATAAAATGTTACTGGGTTTAAGGTCTCGATGCACCACCTTAAAAATACACAAATGTTAAACTGAAAACTGAAAAAAGCAGGAAATGATCATTTGGAGCTTTTTCAAATTTTTTTAAAGAAAGAGACAAATACTTCAGATGCAGAATCAATACAACACGCATGTGGGCCCAATATGGGTGATCTAATTAGATACTATTCATAGCATAAATGCAACTTAACCAGACTGCTGATTTAGACTGCAATCTTAAGAACACGGGATAAAGAATAAACCCTATTGAGATTGATTAAATTTATTTTTGAGTAAGCATGCTTTCATTAATTTTTTTAAGAACTGATGCTTGCTTTTCCATCATGAAAGCAGATCCAGATTTTAGTCACTAGTGGAAAAAAATAAAAACGACACATTTTTCTTTTGCCTACAGATTTCAGAATAAATTACTATTGTAAATTTACTTTTACGTTATTGCTTACCTAATCAAACTCTTGAACACAATATCCTACAGTCCTGTTTACTATGTAGAGTACTGCCTAGTTTAAAGTTACTCCACAATATTAACAACATATTAGAATGTATACGAATGTAATTACTATACTATACTATAATCAAAATGGACATAACTTACTCCTTGACAATGAAGGTAGTCAACTGTTTTAGTGATCGTAAACAATACAGCACTTGCTTCCCGTTCTGAGAAATACTTTTGTCTGAGTATACGATCCAGTAGTTCACCTCCCTTCATTAATTCAGTGACAAGGTAGATATATTTACCATCATCATACACCTGTGGAAATTAAATGCATATGAGTAATGTAAATATTCCCAGGCACCTGATTACTTGAGAAAAGTGAATCAGAGTCATATAATATATTCAACTAAGTTTAACTCAGCATAGACCTACTAAAGTTCATATCCCTAACAGAGTCATGTTTATTAATTTCAATGTATCTACTCTGAGTAAAATGACCAAAAAAAATCTGAATTACAAAGTCAAATTCCAGTATAGGAAGGGCATCCCTTCCCTGGCAGGAAACAGGATCATGCAGCCCAGGCAGCAGGATTTAATCTCCACTCAGCACCAGATGAGCAGAGACAGAAGATCAGCCCAAGACTAGAGGATTTAAAAGGAAAAGAGGAGACTTGCAAAGGCTTTTGCAAGGCTCCTCTGCCTCCAAATACCAAATCGTGTGCCAAACTTTCAGGCAGCATTTTGCAAGCAAAGGCAGGGTGCAAGAGAACTCCTCTCCATTGCATTTGCATGCAAAATGCACCTTTCTTTCTCCCCTCCCAGTTTATTGATGTGAAAGAGAAAAAGGAAGGCACATAGACAGTGGATCCTGTCTTAAAGTACCTGTCTTAAAGCACACTTTGGAGCACCCACCCCATCCTTTAAAGGAGGTGGTCACTACTTCAAAGGGTGCTTTGCAGCTTTAAGATAGAATGCTAGAGTGTTTACCTTTGCAAGTCTTTGTCATTTCTCTTTTAAAACTTCAACAGTGGCTTGAAGGAGAAGTGAAAGACAACGTGCAAAGCTGCACAAGGGATTTTGACAGGTGGGTATTTCTGTCCACCTTTCATTATTATTATTTATCCAATTTATATACCACCCATCATCTGAAGAGCAGAAGGTGGCTTACAAAAACCACAAAAAAATCATAACATAATAACAAACGAACTCCTCATACCCTGTTTAAAAGGCCATAGGTGGTTTAATTAGGCAAAGGCATAGGAACAGAGAAATGTTTTTGCCTGGCACCTAAAGATATGCAACGAAGGCACCAGACAAGCCTCCCTGGGGAGAGCACTCCAGAAGCAGGAAGCCACCGCACAAAAGGCCCCCTTCTCATGTTGCTGCCCTCCGGACCTCTTTCAGAGGCAGCACAGGAAGTAGGGCCTGATATGATGATTGCAGGGTCTGGGTTGGTTCCTATGTGGAGAGGTGGTCTTTGAATTATTGTATTGCAGTCCTGAGGCTTTATAGGTCAAAACCAGCACTTAGAATTGGGCCTGGAAACTAACTGATAGCCAGTTTAGTTGGTCCAAGATGGATGTTATATGCTCAAACTGCCTTGCCCAGTAAGCATATTGCTGACAATGTACTCCAAAATTCTGAATGACCCTACTCAGCAGTTTCATGTGGATGTCAAAAAGCATTGGGGTGATTGAACCCTGAGGAACCCCACATTCCAGGCTCCAGAGGAGTGAAGAACACTCCCCAAGCATCACCCTCTGGAAATGACCATCGAAGTAGGACCAAAACCACCGCAACCATTGAAGTAGGACCAAAACCACCGCAAAGTGGTGCTACCCAGCCATAATTTCGACAGTAGCTCCAAAAGGGTATCATGGTCGATGATATCTAAAGCCACTAAGAGGCTGAGGGACAAATTTCTCCTGTCTCTCTCCTGAAATATGTCATCATGCAAGGCGACACAAGCAATTTCTGTGCCACAATTCCGACTGAAATGGATCTAGAAAATCAGATTTTCTAAGATACCAGGTGATTGGCAGGTGCTCACCTGTCAAATAAGGCCCTGAGCGGCCTGGTAAGAATCTGTCTTCTAGAACCAAAAATATTATCCATCCCTAGTTCTAGCAAATTCAAATGCACATTTACTAAGGCCACATTGGTGTTTCATTTCATTATCTGCGTGAGTCCATAAACCAAATGAAACCACGTGCAAATGAATTCCAGGCAATGCTAACATACTACCAATTCCCACAGAGATTACATCATTTCTTATGTAGCAAGGTGCACAGATATATGTGTGGACCTCTATGTATGTCTGTGGGGTTTAGCAAAAAGGCACAGTCTCCCCTATAGCAATGGTCACATGGACAATTGAACACATGGCGCAGCATTACAGTGGAACCTCTACTTACAGACATAATCCATCCCGGAGGTCCGCCTGCTGGTCAAAATGGGATGCTAGAAGAGGTGTCTTGTGCATGTGCGCATCTGGCGACAGTGCACTTTTGCGCATGCGCAGACGGTGGCAGCCGCTTCTGCACACACGCAGATGGCAGAAGTCACTTCCACACATGCGTAAATTGTGGCAAACCGGGTGTTTGCTTCTGGGTTTGCCGCAGACGCAACTTGGAACGTCCGTGAGACAAGGCATATGTAAGTCAAGGTTCCACTGTACATTCTGTTATGGTAATGGGCTTTTAATGAGGCACAGTGAAATATTTTCCTGAAAATTATTAAAGAGGTTGAACTTTCTATATTCTAGTGAAGAATAGCAAGAACTTGTTTTACTAAATCCATGTTTACAGATAGTATGCTTTTTCAGAAACCAAGCAGAATACATACATCTTTTAAAGTGATAATGTTAGGATGCTGTCCATAGCGCATCAGAATCTCAATTTCTTCAGAGGGATCTCTTTTACTTTTGTCAATTATCTGGAAATATTAAATGGCATGCAAATGTTACACATTAGGTTTTTTAAAATGAAAACAGTTTTATAGTAACAATAAAATGTAAACAACTTTAAAAACCTGCAAACCACAATAAACAGAGTGTTTGTAGGCATACATCTGAGCAAGTGCTTTACCTCTGAGAGAGGTAATTTCAAGGAGTGCAGTCCAGTTATTAAGACCATGTAAATAGTATGCTTTTTCAAATAAAATTATACTGAGTTGCAATACAAATGACTGGCTTGTTTATATGACAAAATGAGATCTTGCTACACTAAAAGAGAAGGAATCCAGGTTGGATATTCTCTGTACTACTCTCAGCTCATGTAACAACTACTAAGATCAGTAACATCTTTCCAGTTTTGAGAGCTCTGCAACCAGCATAAAATAATCCCAATTTTAGAGGGTTTCAGAATAATACCACATAAACACAGAGAAAAGGATTCCTCTCAATTTTTTGTTCAGTGATAATATTATTTCTTAAAGACTATGTTGCACAATGTTTTCACTGCTGGGCAGTTACATATGAGGTGCCAATATGGGAATGACAATTCCTCCAGCACACATTGTATCCCCCCACCCCATTTTTATTGTGAATCAATTTCACAGGTGATGTGTGAGCTAGCTTGAGAGTCCCCCCCCCATGCCGACTGAAAATATATTAAAAGCTTGGGTGCCCATATTTTATTCAATTGGTTTGTTTTTAATTCCTCTGCAAGGTCTTTTCCCCACACAACTTTCAATCCCAAGAAGGAAAGATAAGCAGTATTTTTTTTAAATTGCATAAATCTTTGACAGCAGGTCTTTCAAAGATGTTCAAAAAATGTGAGAGGATGAATCACCTGTTTTAAAATAAAGGAACTGGAGATAAAGTAATGAACTTGCTGGAGAATTAACAAACCCATCAGCTTTTTAGTTGCTTTTCTGACAATGGGCTACCATTAATATAAGAACATATGAATCTATAAAGGCCTTTTCTTTGAAATGCCTTGAAGGAAGTTCTTTTTTCTTGACAGTACAGAGCATTTGTGTTAAATGGGAAGGACACAGTGACAACTTCTGCCATTTACAGTGGTACCTCGGGTTATAGACGCTTCAGGTTACAAACTCCGCTAACCCAGAAATAGTACCTCGGGTTAAGAATTTTACTTCAGGATGAGAAAAGAAATCATGTGGTGGCGGTGCGGCAGCAGTGGGAGGCCCCATTTGCTAAAGTGGTACCTTAGGTTAAGAACAGTTTCAGGATAAGAACAGACCTCCAGAACGAATTAAGTTTTTAACCTGAGGTACCACTGTATACCAAAATTCAAAGAGAATAGGAAGAGATTATCCATGTGTTGTCATTTCTTAAAGGAAGAGGATGGTATGTTCACTTTCTAGCCTCTTAGGAATTATAAGCATGGGGGGGGCGTGTAGCACTGCACACTACCACCTTATCTACTATTGACCATCAACTGAATACAGTGGTACCTCGGGTTAAGTACTTAATTCATTCCGGAGGTCAGTTCTTAACCTGGAACTGTTCTTAACCTGAAGCACCACTTTAGCTAATGGGGCCTCCCGCTGCCGCCGCGCCACCAGAGCACGATTTCTGTTCTCATCCTGAAGCAAAGTTCTTAACCTGAAGCACTATTTCTGGGTTAGCAGAGTCTGTAACCTGAAGCATCTGTAACCCGAGGTACCACTGCACATCAGTTGGTGTTCACAACTCATGCACTCAAGGTTTCTCTTTAGCCTGCGTGTTATGATGCTCTGAGAAACAAGGACAGCAATAGAAGTGAGGATCTGATCACCAATTGGCCAATGTAGGTCTTCTGACTGGAGGACCACTAATGACTGAAATATTTACTTGTTTCAGTATATTATCAGCTTTATCCCCAAGTGCTCTGTTGATTATCAGTTATAAAAATATTTTTATTTGACTTCTGCTTTATTTTGAAATATGTATAGAATGCTTAATCAGAAAAATCTAAGCAGTGTACATTGTTATTTTAGTATTAATAAGCACAGATGAGATCAGCAAAGCATAAAAACAGAATGTACAACACTAAATTATATGTCTGGGTTGGCAATGCTGAAAGAAAAAGATTTTCAGCAGGTGTCTAAAACAATACAGTAAGGCCACTTGCCTAGCATCAATAGGCAAGGTGTTTCGAAACACAGATGTGACCGCACTAGAAGATTGACACATAGCTACTATGGAACATTATATAGCACTTGTAAATAGCGCAAGTTCTGCAGACAGAAGCTGTCCAGAAAGTACATATGGAGGAAGGCAATCCTCCAACGAAACTGGTCACAAGCCGTTAAGGGCTGTATAGACCATTTATTTATAGAAGATAAAGAGTACTGTGGCATCAAAGAGACTAAATCTTTTTAAGTGTCCTAAGCAACTCCAGCAGGACATTACAAAGATATTCCTAAGTTGCAGGATACTCCCTTGGGTACATGAAGGTAACTATATGTAAGCAAGAATACTGAGTATTTATTGTAAAGCTTACAGTTGAATAATGTTTTAATAACAGGCTGCTTTATAAACATTAGAGTGAAAGGTCTTTGTTTTAAAAATGTACATTTTTGTATTCAGCAGAAATAGTTAAGTATGGTTAGAGGAAAGAGATCTAAGATCTATTAATAGATTTGCCAGTACCAACTATGGAGAAAGGAACTCCATATATACCTTCACAGCAAACTCCATGCTTGAAGCCATGTGGATGCAGCGCTTACACACTGAATATGAGCCAACACCAATGTCCTCCTTAAGTTCATAAGCATCTGTGAATAGTGCACTGTTCCCATGAAGTTGCTAAAAGCAAACAAACTGTTGTTTAAAGCTATACACAATTCTTAACAATCATTTCATAAACTTCAGTAAACGATTCAGTTCCCAAACATATGGCAAATATACTTTTATTAGATGCTTCTGCAGTGTGCCCAGAGTGGTACAATAGGGCAGCAATGAGAACCATAAGGGCACAGAGCTGCAAAACAAGATCACAATTTATTGGCTTAACTTAACTACTGATAGTTTTGTCTGCCTCAAGTAGGACCCTAAGGACAAGAAAATATAGCCATGAACTGTAAGGGAGATGCAGAGATCTAAATAGAGACCATTATTTGTGGTGTGACACCCCTTTTGTTTATATTTATTTTTGATTCAGATTTGTCATGGCCAATAGCTAGTACAATAAAGATATTTGGATTGGATTGGGCATTGGAAGCCTGATGATCTGCACCTAAATGTTAATTGCCTTATGTAAGATGTGAATAAGATATCCTGCATAAGACATGCTCCCCGCCCCCTGAACCTCCAGAAAAAACAATCCTCAGCTGGGAAAATGTGTGTACTAGCTAGAATTTTGAGACCGACAAGTTTCATCCTCTATGTTTATTTGTGAACCTGCTACAACAAGGGTGGGCAACCAGATCCAGTTGGCAGGCTGGATTCTAAAATCCCTCCACCTTCCCTGTGGGCCAACTTCTCATACGATGCTACATATGAGGTTCGGTGCAATACAAATGGGTGTGGCTTGGATAAAACTGCCTCGCGGGCCAATTAGATCTGTGAGACAGAGGTCTTCCACGGCTGTGCTGGAGGATTAATATTCAGAAAATAGAAAATATGCATCTTGTATAAGCAATATTTGCTTAATAAGCAATTACTGCAAATCTTATGACTACACCACTGTAAGTAGCTATTTCAATAGTTATATGTGTATACAGGACCCAGGGTGAGAAAATGAAACCTTTTACCTGTACTATTGGCAATATGTTGTTGAGAGGGGAGATTTTGTGGTCTTCTATGGCCGTAGTTGCGACAAAGCTAAAGCCTTTGAAGAGCTGGTGTGCATTAGCACTAGGTGGAACTCCTGGAGAATCTAATGATTAAATTTACAATACGTTAGACAGCCCATAATACATTTTTTCCGCTGCAGTTATGGATTCTTATTTCACTTTTTGAAAAATAAAGACAATTTACATTTGTTTTACCGTATTACCTTTTGGTGTTTTTGCTGTGAATTCTGGATCAAAACAAAATGTGTCTTCTGGCCTCCCGGAAGCAGGTTTAAATGGAGGCAGAATCTCTCTCCTGTATAGTTTCTGAAAATGGAATTGCAATATATTATTTCCTCATGAAGGCAAACACATCACATGCAAAATTAAAGCATCAAAATGTAAAGTAGGTATCTCTCTTTAAGTTGGGTTCACCTGATTCTCTAGTGTGAATCTGAAGAACTTCCAAAAGGCTACAAAAAACAATTCTCTGCATGCTTGAGTGGGGGGAAAAGACAAGAAAAATATCTTTCTCCCGACTCACTTCTTGCACATAATGGCTGAACTTGCACATTAACGCTAAGCCATGGCTTAACAGTACATGCATGAGTTGTAGTGAGCCCCAGTGAAACATTGGTTTTCTACTCTCACTTCCTCTTCTCTTCCTGTAAATTTGGAAAAAGGACTTCCACAGAGAATGGTTTTATTCTAATAAGATATAAGGCTATGAAGATCTTAAGATGGAGACAGGAAATGTAATGATATTGAATTGTTAATAAGATCAAAAATATTCAGTACGGCAAGTATATTTTGGACATTCCACTGACTGTTGGCATCCATCAGCAAATGTTTGGTAAGCAAATAAAATTGATTAGATCAAAGTTTGATCTAATGGTAAATGAAAGCAAGCCAGAGACAAATGAAATGAAAAGTGGAATCAAAGATGATACAGAGACTTTGGAGAAGAATATGGGTAAAGGATTGGCAGAACCAGAGGGTGAAATGGTAGAGTTGGAGGGAACAGATAGTGAAATAGAAAAGCCCTTAACAAGGGTGTTTGGAGGAAAGAAACAGCCAAATGGTGGAGTTCGATTCTGCAGGAGTGGAATGAAGTCATGGATGGAGAGAGATGGGATCTATAATCAACAGAGCTGAGAAAGAAATGCTCTCAGTGTACAATTTTGAGTGAACTCAGAAGAAAAAGCTATCAAACCTCTGGCCCTTTTCTTGGAAATGTTTTTTAGATAAGGATGCAAAACCACATCAAACCCAACAGGAAATTGGAACTGAAGATACTGAACTGGGTATGAATTAATGGTTACATAACAAAAAAAGAACTATGGAATAGTATCTCAATATAACAGCAGAGAGACTTATGTGGACAATGACAGAATTTTTATTGTTATTGTTAAATATGGAGGTATGATCGTTGAACTTATTGGAGGCAAAGTTGATATGTTTGATCAAAGAAAAGCCATTGCTGTGTTTTATTAATAACAATTAGATAAAAATTAGAGTATGAAACGGGAAAATGAACAAATTTTAGACATTTAGGACTGAAGGTTGGAAATGGCCGCTTACCTGGTGCCAGGGTGGGTGGCAGTTGTGGTGTGTCGCAGCTGCCCCTCTACTCCCCATGGGACAAGACGCCACATCATAGTGGCTAATTGTTTGGGGATCCACAGGAGAGCCCGTCATTCTCCAAATTGCCAAATCAAGGGCATGCTTTAGGCTGAGATTGGGCAGTGACCAGAGTGGATGTCTTCACTCTGGTCTGACACCTGAATATTTAGACTGGTTGTGCCTGAGTTCAGGACCACTATGGTTTAATAATTGCTGTATCTGGAGCCAGGAAGGAATTTTCCTGCAAACAGATTGGGCCCTATTGGAGGTTTTGTCTTCCTCATAGCAAAAAGGCATTGAGTTGAGATGAAGTGGTGCATCACCTCTACCTCAATCAGGTGTGATCTAAGAATATCCCATTAACAGGGAATAAATGGGTCTCTGTCCAGTTTAAAAGGCTATAGATTGTTTAATTAGCCAAAGGCCTGTGAGAAGAGGAGTGTTTTTGCCTGGTGCCTATAGATACAGAAGAAAGGCTCCTCAAGCATTCCACAACTGGGGAGTTCCCACAGAAAACACTCACTTTCCTGGAGGAGATACATGAAGAAGGACCTCAGATGATGACTTTAGGGTCTGGGTTGGTTCATATGTGATTTCATCTCAGTCTCCCTTAATGGTTTTTTTTCTTCTTTTCTTTTTAGAAAATAGGTTTTCTAAATAGATGCTAGAAGTACACAATGTTTGGCTGCTTGAACAATTTGATATATCCCACATTTATTTATTTTTTTGAAAGGCAACATTACAAAAATGGAGTGTTAAATTTCAGCCTTCTTTTATGTACTCACATTCCAATCAATGGTTGAAAAGAAAGGATGTCTCTTGATTTCTTCAACCCCATCAGGACCAGCTCCTGTCATATCAGGAAATGAAAGGTACTAAATCAAACAGCGTAAAAAAATATATTGTGGGGCATCCAAAGAGGCTTTGACGTTTAGTTTCTCAAATAGCACCTCTCTACCTTACCTAAAATATATTGGAATATCGTTTCAAAACTAAGGGTTTTGAGTGATAGTTTTGAAGAGCAGACTGTTGTCTCTTAACACAATTTAGCTGACATGCCTCAAACCTTGGGCACTCTTTGAATCCCAGCCTATATTTAGTAACAAGATTTAAGAAAAAATCTGAGGATATGGAACACATCTACTTATAGCATTTGAAGTGAAATAAAAATTCCAGGATTGACCACATGCAGTTTTTTCACCTTCAGGTGTACCATGAAAATGAAAAAAGAAACAACATTGTTTCTATCAGGTACTGTACCCACACATACATCACTACCCAAAACAAACAAGCCCCTGTCACAGTTATTAGCCGACTACTATAATTTTATCTTTGGGAACCCAGTATTTTATTAGTTCACAACAGAATACACCCCAAAGGAGCTGCATAAACTACATCAAGATGAGGAACCTCTATCCCTCTGTAAGTTATTGCAGACCAACTCCTTTGAGCAAGAGTGTGCAAGTTCAATGGTCAAAGATGAGGAGTTTCAGTTCAGCAACATCTCCGGGGCCACAGGTTCGCCACCCAAACTACATTATTTTGAATGACGGCTCATTTTGATGAAGCATGATTCATTATAACTTGAACACAAAGAGTATGATTCATTATAACTTGAACACAAGCAGAAATTACAGTCAGGCTGTATCAGAAGACAGAAAAGAAGGGATGTGAGGCCACCATCTGTCCTGTCATCTGGCAGCAGTCATTACATCAGGCTGCAGCAGAGAAAGAACAAGAAGAAATGCAGAGGACACACCATTGACTCCACTGAAAGACCAGCAATGCTACTGAAGTTTTCCACTCAAATAGGTCATTAGAACAACTTGAACTCAATTTGCTTATTTCCTCCTTTTTCCAAATTTATTTTCCAGGAGAAATAGTATAACCTTTGCATAAGCCTGGACAGACTATAAATGCAAAGCTAGTGAGACAATTGAATAGGAACTTAATATTTAACACTCAAGGAAATGCTTGGTTTGAAAGCATCTTTAAGACATATCCCTCTGTGGTTTTGCTAAGATTCAACAGAATGAATCTTTGATAAACAACTAAATAAGCAGGCCTTAGTTGAGCAGGCCAGTGATGGCGAATCATTTAGAGACTGAGTGCCCAAACGGCAACCCAAAACCCACTTATTTATCACAGAGTGCCAACATGGCAATTTAACCTGAATACTGAGGTTTTAGTTTAGAAGGGGAGGTTGGTGCATCCACGTGGAGAGAGAATGGAGCAAAACAGTGGTACCTCAGTTTTCGAACAGCTTAGTTCTCGAACTGCTTGGAACCCAAACACTTCAAACCCGGAAATTAAGTGTTCTGGTTTTCAAACTCTTTTCGGAAGTGGAACTGAGTATAAACTGTTCTGAGTATAACTTCTGAGTGCCACACTTCCATTTTCAGAGTGAGGGAAGGCAGGCTGGGTGGCAAGTGAGCAGGCACCTGCCGCCCTCTAGTGCTGGGTCCCTCTGCCGCCGCAGCTGCCGCTCCTCAGCGGTGCTCCTCAGCTGAGCTGCCCAAACCTGCTTCTACTTGCGTGCAAGCAGGAGTGGAGGCAGGGATTTCTCAGAAGTGGAGTGGAGGTTTCACGCTCCTCAGCTGAGCTGCCCGATCCCACTCCTACTTGCGAGCAAGCAGGAGCAGGATCGGGCAGCTCAGCTGGGGAACGTGAAGCCTCCACTCCACTTCTGAATCCGTTCCCATTGGCCCTGGTTGGAGGGTGTGTGAAGCCTTAACCTCGAAGCAGCAGGAGGAAGGTGGATGCTTGGAACTCTTGGTGGCCCACCAACGCAGCAGCGCACTTTTGAGAATGTGCATTGCGCTGTGCCCTCCCCACCGACAGCGGAGGTTCCCCAAAGGAAAACGCATGCCCTGGAGATTGTGGCTACGTTTTGCACACACACACACACACCCCGATGCCCCATCTGAGGTGCTTCTACTTGGACACAAGTTGAGCTGAGGACTCGACACGCTGCCCTTGCTTTCTGCCCTTGCCTTCTGTGCTGGGGCGACAGCGCGCGTGCCCACAGAGAGGGCTCTGAGTGACCCCTCTGGCCCGCATGCCATAGGTTCACCAACACTAATCTAGGTGATACAAACTTACCTAACCTATTTGAAGGGTTCCTTTTAAACAACATCCGGAGAAGACTTTGAGCTTCAGTACTAAGAAACTGTGGCATGCCTAGTTTTGCTCTAGAAAAAGAGAGAATTCATGTTCAAAGTATACTCACTAATTAAATAAAACAGACTATGATCTGTGCAATACACTTTAATGCAACAAAGAAGTATGCAGTTCAGTTCAATTCAATTACCCTAAAAGAGCACATTTAAAAGGGGTTTAACAATTCATGTCATCCACTTTCTATATTGCATCTTACACAGAATTGTATATTCTTGTTCATCTATTCCAGATAAACAAACAATTTTCTGGGAATACAATACTCCATTATGCTTTCATGAGCTGACTATTTAATCAGAGTTCTTTGCAAAGCTTTTCTTCCAATTCCATAGTCCAAAATCATTGAGCAAGTCACCAGAACAGATGCTCATTCCCTATGTAGAATCAAGTCCCAAAAGCACTCACTGTGGCTGGAGAGGGGCAAGAATCTAGTATACAATTTGGCAAGTAAAAGTGTTCATTACTTTTCCAAGAAATATATCTGATACTATACAATAGCTTTTTAGGGGGGGGTGAACACAGTGATCTTAACCTTTGCACAAAAACCTGCCAGCGTCGCCAGAGCAAGTTTCTTGCAACACAAACCAAAAGCTATGGTTTGCAACATTGTGCCTCTGCTGTTGGCAAGCCCCAACCTAACCCAATTCTAAAGATTAAACCGTTTGACTGTAAGTTTAATAAGCAAAGACCCTCTAAAGCAGGGGTAGTCAACCTTTTTATACCTACTGCTCACTAATGCATCTTTCTTGATGGTAAAATTTTCTTCCCACCCACCTGTGCTTGATGGAAGGAGGATTCAGCTTGTGCCATAGAACCCCCTACCGCCCACCTGGAATCCTGAAATGCCAACTAGTGGGCTGTAGGGACCAGATTGACAACCCCTGCTCTAAAGCATAGAAGACATTAAAATTTAAAGAAAATGCCATCTCCAAAATGTAATTTGTTCAATTGTAGAATACATTTTCTAATCATTTAGGTCATAAAGAAAACTGTATTTTTACTCTATATTTTCTTTCATTCAAATTAAAGATTATATGGTATTAGTCAAATATAATTTGTATTATACTTTCTAAGTTGGAAATACTTAGAAATAGAAATATTTTGAGATAGAGAACAGAAAAATACTTACTTGAGTATCATATTCATAGTTTCATTTCGATCTTTACCTTGAAATGGTAGTGTACCAGTAAGCATTTCAAACTGGGAAAGAAACAAGCCCAGATCAAACTTTTAGAAAATATAATTTTAATTTGGAGGAATTTTGAACTGGGGGTAGGAAAGCAGCAAGAAAATAATAAAATAGCTAGACATGGAATTTATGATATATCCCCCCATGAAGTTTGGAGGGCCATTAGTTAAAATGCAGCTATACTATTGGCAATTGCTAGTTTGTTCAGCCATAGCAAATACAGACAACAACAAACAAAATGCCCTTGGCTAAAATTCAGTCCATGAGTTTGTTGTAGTAGTTCATTGCCACAATAAAAAAGCACAAAGGAATATAAGATTCTTCAATCAAATGATTATGCTAAAATGTATTAAGGTTTTCATTGTCAAAATATTGTGTGGTGAAATGTTTTCAGTTGCCATACTTCAGTTATTCAACACAGAAAATAACTACAAATTTCACACAGAAGTTAAGTATATTTTAAAACAAAAACTTTCTTAGATTTTAAGCTGGGCAATATAATGCTATATCAAATATCTTGACAATCACTAAAACATGTGGACAATGGCAACAACACGCAGCACATCTGATTGTCATGTAAAATTAGGTAATGAAATATACAGTACCATAAGAACACCAAATGACCACCAATCAGCACTCTGGTTGTGGCCTCGTCTGTTTACAACTTCAGGAGCCATGTACTCTACAGTACCACAGAAAGAATAGGCTTTCTTTTCTTGATCCACAGATTCTTTGCTGAGGCCGAAGTCTAAAATAGTATTATACAATATTTCACATAAAGAAACTTTGTGCCACAGGGGTTGCAAAACATTACAAGCTTGAACTGTGTATTTTTAGGAGTAAATATACTATCCTATAGCCCATAGGGCAGAAAAAATGGGATGCAAAACAGCTGATCAAGGAACTCTCAAATTAAACAGAAAAATAACTGAAACATTTGCAAACTGCATGATAACACGGTATTCTTTTACTGTGTTATTTCCTGTACTATAATAGCTTCATGTGCTCAGGGTTAATTAATATTATATTATTGGCCTAAAGGCAAAATGATGGAAGATACAAACAAAGTGGTTGCCATACTGTTCCACCAATATATGAGCTTCAAGGACTCATGTGAATATTAATAAGTCACCCTTGGCTTATTATACTTCAAACAAAATTAAATAGTTTTTTTTAAAAGTGGATCTTTAAAAAAAGCACTATGCTGGAAGACTGAACATAATCTGTACATACAATATAACATTTATTTTCAGGTATGCTTTCAGTGCTGCTCAACAGTGAATACAAGGACAGCACAGTTTATTAAATAAGTTGGCCTCCTAACAAGCCATTCTATATACACGCAGGTCCCACTATCTGCCCACTTGTTACCCGCAAATTCACTTATCTGAACACAAGGAATTATGCCCAAATCTTGTTATATACACAGCTGACTCAGAAATCCCAACAGCCAGAGTTTGCTCATTTACTTATTTGCTTGTGCTTTGCTCAGCAGCAGCAGCCATTTGGGGGCAGAAATCATGGACAGAGGGAAGGGAGAGTGAGATCAGACAAATCAGAGAGCAGGAGAAGTTGGACAAATCAGTTTTTCCTTTGTAATTCTTTTGCTGGTTGGTTGCAGCCATTTTAGGAAGAAACCATGGTGGGACGGGGCAGAAAAAGATCATGGATTGTAAATGTTCTCATAGGGAAAAAATGGAAATCATTAGCTCATTGTGTGAATGCTCACCCAACAAATGATTCCCTGGGAACTGTAAGTGGGATCTGCATGTACAAACCTCTTGCCAAATTCTTGCCGTACAATATAACATGAAAATGTTCATCAATGGCAAAACTATTACTGAAAAGTCTCATTTTTATCTAACATTAGGAATTATGGCTGTATTTTTAAAGCCATGTAGAAACATGCCAGTAGCAACTCATATTAACAAAGCTGCTGCTTGGTTTAAAATCAGTTTGCCTCCAGCTGCTGTGATTGAAGTTTCAAGGAAAGAACAGGTTACAAGAATCGATCATGTCCAGCTTTCTGTAAAGCTTTTTCAGACCATTTTTTTTAATCTTTACATGGCTTCCACCAGTGTCCAGAAGAACAGTCTGCAAGTTAATCCAATGGTACAAAGGCAAATCCAGCCAAGAAAAAGTAAGGGGTGTGTGTGTGTGTGTTTGTGTATGTGCATGCATGTTTAACTGTCATCTGTAATACTATCTCCCTCCCCATCAGGATTTAGTTTAAAGCTGTCCTGATCAGGTTCACGAGACTCTTAGCAAACATATTCTTGCCAACTGCTATGAGGTGCAGCAAATGCCCATTTACAAGTTCACATCATAACCGCATTCAAACATAATATCATACAATCATATTATTAAATCAATCAGCCATCTCATTCAATCATAGAATCATTCATAATTATAATAACATTGCAATACAATTATAATATCACAACTACATAATCATAAACACACAACACCATACAACCACACAATCAGATCAATATCATATAATCATAATATTTCCCAATCACAATATCATAACAATGCCATCACCAAATATCATAGCCCTCACCTCCCCAGCCCACACACCCCACCCCGGCTGGCCAATGCAAAACGAATTTCAAGGAGAGGGAAATTAAGCCTCTCCCATATTACACTGGTCATCAGCAACATGTGTTGGAGGAGCTGGATATACCGTAGGTTAATATCCTTCATTAATGATCATATGATATGATTTGATGATTGTACAATATGATAGTGTGATATTGTGATGGTATGATATTGTTATATTGATTGTATAGTTGTGTGACCATATGATATTATGACTGTATGATTTTGCTATTATGATAGTACAATATCATGATTATATACTATTATATGATATGATTGTTTGATATTATGATTGCAGGGTATTATATTATGATTGTATAATTTGTTTTAGCTCCTTGTGCCCCTTTAGAACAATACATTTCACAACTTAATGTTGTCTTCTACAAAGATTCATTGACTTTGTTAACAATGCCACACCAAAAGCTGAGTAAGCTTGACCAAATAACATGTTTTCTCATTTTTTTTGCTGTGGCTATGTGAAATACTGCCAAAATTCACTCATAAATGCCTACTTTGCTTTTTTGTCCCTTATAATAAAGCTGAAGAGAATTTAAAGTGTGCTTGCTAACAAGCAATTTTCAACTATGTTTCAGCATTTTTCTTTCTATTAAAATTGCAGCCTGCAAAATAATGCAATATTCCCCTCCATGACAGAAAGAACATTCTGTTCTAAATTCCAGTTCCCCTATGACTGCAGAAGCAAGGCAAAGGGACATTCCAGACCTATCCAAAGAACAAGACCCACCAACTGCTATTCAAGAAAGAATGCCAGCAAGTGAAGATCAACCAGGCCCAAACTGGATGTAAAGACATGCTTAGAGACCGGTACTTTGTTCAACTGACCAGAGGTACTGATCTTTCACCTCCCCTTGTTCCTTTTCTCCTAAAGCCATTCTCTTCCTTTTTTTTTCTTATTTTCTTTTTAACTGAGGGTTCAATGACAGGTGGGATTGCCAAAGTATTTCTTCCTGAAACCCTGCTCCCTTTTCAATTTTTTTAGTCCCTCCCACAAGTGTGTAAAGCTGAATCTGCGTAAATAGCACTTCTATAGACATATACAACATTTAAATCCAAGGTGCATTTCTGCACTTATACAACATTCCATCTACATGAGAGAAGTGTACTAGGTCTTCTTCCTGCTTGTATTTGATGACCTTTTATATACTTTGGAGATACTAGAAGCAAATATTCTGTGTCTGCTATCATTCTGACATAATCCTTCATCTCTCTCATCAAACAACTGTGACACACAGATCCTTATACAAAACTAAGACATTAATACTTTTGAGGCTACAATCCTTTGTGTGCTTACTTGGGGAAAAACACCACTAAACAGAGTCTTACTTCTGAGTACACATGCAGTGGATTATTCTGTAAATTTCAGCAAGATGTCAGAAGGTATCCACCAATGAGTTCTTAAATAACTAAATGGTCAAACGGCTGAGCTTCTATTTGAAATATTTCCACCTGATTTATAAATTTCACCTAAACTCTACAGTTACTATGTTTAACTGCTTGGGTTTTTTGTTATTTTTACTTTATGTGTCTTTTTTTATTAAACCACTGTGAAGAAAAGTGTCTAATACATTTATAAGCTGAATAAATATATATGAGGGCAATCTCAATAGCAAATGAGCTACAACAAATAGAAACCATGCCTGACAAACTGGGCCATCAAACTGGAACATAATATCTGCTTCCATCATAATTTTGGACCAAGAAATGGATCTAACAGCTGACATCCTCTGCAGAAAAGCAGAAGTAGATTAAAAGAATCATGAGGATATTAAATTATACTTTGGGGTTCTAACCCACTCAAAAAAATGCAGACAAGAACTGCTTCCACTTCACTGTTGAAAATCCTTTCAACTAGGATCCAAGGGCACTATTGCAAAAATAGAAGGCATTTCCTTTGGGCAGCTGAGGTCTCAATTTCAGAGACCCCTCTTCTTGATGCAGCCTCCGAGCTCAAATCCCATTCTGTTTCAGTGACTCCTTACAATAATCAGATTATTTCGCAGAAGCAAGGCATTAGTGGTGAAAAATTATATTCAATTCAGAAGCTAAGCCAATAGATTAAAACATATTGTTGCGGAATAAGTGCTTTGGCCCTATATACCCGAATGACCATCTCCACCCCCATCATCCAGCCTGAACAATGAGGTACCACTCAGAGGGCCTTCTAGCAGTTCCCACATTGTGAGAAGGGAACCAGGTAGATTACCTTCTCAGTAGTTGCACCTGCCCTCCCATCAGGTGTTAAAGAGGGGGAATCTACACACATAAAAACACTGTGAAAATGTTTTTTTTAAAAAATGTTTTGAAAAAGGCATTGAATTTTGCATAGCTCACTATTACTATCTAGTGTCACATTTGTATATTGCACTTTACAACACATTTAAAACGTTTTATTTGCAGCTGTGTAGCCGAGTCCAGAGATAAACAATTATATAACTTTCCGTAGACATCTGAAGGCAGCCCTGTATTGGGAAGCTTGTAATGTTTGATGTTTTGTTGTGTTCTTTTATATTCTTGGGCAGGGTACAAGAATGAATGAATGAATGAATGAATGAATGAATGAATGAATGAAATTCTTCTTCATCTTCTTCTTTTTCCCTGATTTAATTAAAAATCTCCAAGAAGTGCTTAACAGTCAACAGGATGGTGCATGAGAATATGTGAGCTTGCTGGCTAGTACTAGTGGCTAGGACACTGGAGGGAGTCACAACAGCTTACAACCTGGCTAGAAGAAAGTCATTTCTGGTTATATGCACAAGATCCTGGCATACAATAACCTCTAATACTCTAAGTCTAAAATGATTGAAAATGCACAAGAAAAAATGCACATAATAGCTGTGAAAAACTCAATGCAGTATCTCCTGCTACAACTTTTCAAGATACTTATATAAATATTTTTAAAAAGTTATGTTGGTAAGTTCCACCTACCTGTTAACTTGATATGTCCTGCTTCATCAAGCAAAATGCTGAAAATTAAAATCCACATTCACCAATACACATAACAGGAGAATTTATAATACATTTAATTTAGCAAATGAAATAATAAATAAACCAATATTATTTATATACAGGCATTCCCCCCCCCCAACCTTATGTGGAGGTTATGTTCCCAGACTCCGCACATATATGTGAAAAATGGGGGGCGCTATTGAGAGAGGCTGGGAAACAGCTCTCTCTCAGCAGATCCCATCCATCCCATCAGTCTTCCCCAGGCAGCTATGTACCCTTGGACATGCATGCCCTGCCTGCCTCCAGTGACCAGAAAGTTGAGCTGTGGGTTGGTAGCTGGGTGACTCCAGGTGCCCAACACTGCTGCTGGACTTCTCGGCACTCTCTCTAGTAGTCTTGGAAGTTGCTGGAGACCGTTTATTTTTTATCTAATTTCTCCCCCACTCCTCGAGAAATAATGTTGCTGCCTATTTGTTGGGCAGCAAGGGAGAGGGCGATCAGAGGGCAGAGGGACTCTCAGATCCTGTCCAATAAACAAAACTGACACAAGCGAGTGAGCGAGGGATGGGCAGGTGGGCAGAGGCATGGAGCACCCCCACCCCACAATGGCTCTGCTGCCGAGGAAGAAGAAAGACAAGGAGGGTGCGTTAGTGGAGGCGGCAAGACAATCAGAGCGGCCGTGCAAGCTGTTTTCCCCCACTCTCCAGGTCTCTCTTGCTCTTTTCGCAGTGCTTTGGCACCATTTCCTGGTTTAAATCATTTATTTATTTCACGGTGATGCGTCTAAACATGGTCGCACGTGAATGGAATGCGCGTAAGTGGGGGGGTGCCTGTATTATATTAACAAATATGCAATACTCTATTTTCAATATATATTAGAATAAAATATCTAAACTTTCATGTGATTCTATATTTTGATTACAAAAAAGGCAAATAAATCTTCGAACAAGAGTACTGTAGTAACGGATAAAATACATTTTACTTTACTTTTCTGGCTTCAGGTCCCTGTACACAATTCCCAAGCTGTGCAGATGATCCAAAGCAAGGGCCAGTTCTGCGAGGTAGAATTTCACATCTTCCTCTGTAAACATAACCTAATAAGAACTATATAGATTTACATTCTGATCTTGTTAAATTTCTGCATATCTAAGATGACTATAAACTCCCGTAAGATCTAAAAAGCTGTGATGCATGTATCCCCCATAATCCAGGATGATGGGAGCTCAGGCTGTATATAGGCCATCAGAAAAGACAAGCTAGAGAGGGCTAGCATAAATCCTGCTAGCTCCCAACGGAACAGATATTCAGATCATTCCTCCTTCTTCCCCTCACCCCTGCTAAAAGATGACTGGGATGGACAGAAGGGAAGTAGAATGATGCTAAACTCCCTAACAGATCATCATGTGCTCTTCTTGCACACCCACTCCCTCCACATGAAATAAAGATCTGAAGTCCAGATACTCCTTGGTATAAAAATGCTGATAACTGATTTCAGAAAACAGCCATTTTATAAAAATATTCTGCAACTTGGAATGAAGTAGGTAGAAATGTAAATGCCAAAGTAGTATATATGAAGTATAAAAATATTTATAGAAGAATATTTATAACAGGTGGAAGAGATTCAAAGCAGAGTCAAGATTTTCATTTTCTCTTGTTCCAAGGAAAAGTAAATACTTAAACACACATTCCCGTTTTAGGAATGAGCAGTTGTAAATGGGAGGCATATTTCTCAGTCCATACTGTATACTGAACGAATTACAGGACAATCCTATGTATACAGGCGTCCCCCCACTTACGCGGGGGTTACGTTCTGGGGGCCCCGCACACGTAAGTGAAATTGCGTAAAATGAGGAGCGCCCCACTTTATCAGGGAGGGTGTGTGGGGAGGAGAGAGAGAGACTAACCCCAGAATTTGCCCAGGGCTGCTGCCAAGCCTGTCTCAAGTCCATCTGTGTGCCCGAGGGGAACCAATGTAAACAGTGCTGGCAGCTGGCCACGGAGAGCAAGGGCCAATAAGAGCACCCAGCAGAACTATCACAAGAATGGGGACGCGGGGACGCAGCCGAGTGGCAGGGAGAAGGCATCTCCCGACCCCACGTCAATTGAAGGCTGCCTTCCCTTATTCAGTAGAAGCCCAGAGCGACTTCAGGGCAGAAGCCTCGAGCAAGGGAAGGTCTGTCTGTCTATTTGTTTGTTTGTTTGTTTGTTTGTTTGTTTGTTTGTTTGTTGGCTATCCACATAAACGTGGTCGTACATTAATGGGATGCACATAAGTGGTGGGGTGCCTCTACTTCTCAGAAACATACCACAGATTGAGTGTGCATAGGATTACAGTCTTCAGCTCATAAAAACCAAAGGAAGTTATTTAGGTCTAGAAGGAAAAAATCTTTTATTGGCACAAATCAAGATGTCACAGAGATGTGGCACGGTTCTGAGTTCTCCAGAATTCAAGATCATGGAACAGAATCCAGAAGCTGACCTCATGGTTACTACATCAGCCTTATTTTTGTACTCTTTTGTTTTTCTTCACTCTTGTCACTCCCTACCTTGTGCAACATCTTGCTTGGTGAACAGTCCTGGATAACTCAAAAGCTTGCCACACTTCTGTGACATTTTGTTTGGTCCTGGTGAATATTCTTCCCAATCGCGGGTTCAGGAGCCTTACCCAAAACACACCCATTACTGGAAACTCTGCTCATTTAATTAAATAGGCCCAGCTACTTACAGTTTTCTAAGTTGGGATGTCTTTATGATATATGTACTAATGTATATTCAATATATATCATGCAATGCACAAATGTGGAAGGACAGGGTAAAAATGTAAAATTACAAGATAGTCCATTTTGCCTAATGTAAATATTAATTTTATTTTCAAAATTATAGAAATACGTACCTCTTTGGATAATCTTGTGAACACATCTCCTCCCCTGAGAAAATCCAATATTAAATATAGCTTCCCTTCAGTCTGAAAAGCTGATTTGAATAATCATAAGAATACTTCATCAAAATACTAAATTAATACCTGCATGCTTATCTAGAACTCTAAATATTTTAATACTATTTACAAATTAAAAGTACTCAAGACTTTTTCTACAGCAAAGATCTAATTTTGTATCCAATTTTACAATTAAACCTTTAAAGAAAGCAGACAAAAGCCATGAAAGTTAAATTCATCACATGCTTGCATTCTTATTTGCATAAGTAGAAACCTCAATCTAAATTCAAGTGAACTTTATTGAGACAAATAGGCTTCATGAGGGAGTAGAATTAGCACTACAATTTGGTTGTGTTGAGGCAGAAATTCCATATTTAGCAATGTGGTCACAGGCTACCAAGATGTCATACATTATCAGTGGTGTGAAGGGTCCTTTTAAAAATAGCTTCTTATAAAACTATGGCTATTTCCAGGTTGTCCAAGAACAATTTTAAGACAGACCAAATAGTGCATTGAAGAGCTCATTCAGTCCAGGGATTGATCATTGTTAGTTTCATGCATGTTCACTATCCGTTTATCATGCGTTCATTCATAATTAAGTTCTATTTTGCTTTCCCATCAGTCAGCAAATTTCCCCAAAAAATCTGTAAGAAAATGCTTATTAGAATTTTCATTTAAATATGCATTTCAATGGACACAAAAATACTCACCATAGTGCAGTTTGACAATAAACGGATGATTTACTTCTACTAATATATCTCTCTCCATCTTTGTACGAACTCTATCTCGAACTGCAAACAGAAATGGCTGTTATCTATATTAAGCAAGCTACCTGAATTAAATCAGCCGCAGAAAACTTTATAAACAATCACAGTTTTGTTAAATGGCTATTTTGACTAAGAATTTGAGGGATAATATATACAACAGGCAGAATTCACCAAGGAGTTTCTGTACACAAACCACTAATGTTTATTCTACAAAATGACTCTCCTTCACTGGAGAAGGTTGGATGGCCATCTGTCAGGGATTCTTTAACTGTGATTCCTGCATTTCAGAGAATTGGACTAGATAACCATTGGGGTCCGTTCCAACTCTACAATTTATGATTGCACTGGGTCACCAACCAGATTCACACACACTGCAACAAAAAAGTCAAGAGAAATTCACTGCAGTAGTATGATTTACAGGTATAACACGATATATATGGAGAGGCCATATTTTAAAATCCATAAATCACTGCCATATCTGTTTAAACCTTTATTAAGACAAGCCCTAAAAATATGTCATTTAAAGCTAGGGAATAAAGACATGCTTTTGAAGAGAGTGTAGTCTTCAACCTTGTTTTCAGTGCTCAGGATAAATACTGGAACAAATGCCCCTCAACATGTGCAGAGTCCTTTTCACTTAACAGGGATATTCTGTCGCTATATTTTACATCAAAATGAGCAACTGCCAGGCAGGATAAGCCCAGGCACTTTTTAGTCAGGATATCAAGCACTAATTTAAGATGAAGGAAACAACTGGTTTAAACAGAAGTCTGCCATCATTAAGCCACACACTTTGAAATAATCAATAAGCAAAACCCATTGAACTATTTCAGATGTATGCCCTTGAGGACTGCAGCCAAACACTTCAGTCCTACAACATATTTACTTAGCATATAAGTACCTTCAATTGAACTTGTAATTAACTTTAGTATAGGAATGATTATTAAACTATAAAACAAGGCATGGTTATAGAAAAATGTATTCACATGGCCCCTAAAGATAAGTAATGAAGGAGTCAGGAAAGCCTCCCTACAGAGAGCATTCCACAAACGGGAGCCACAGCAGATAAGGCACGTTCTCCTGTTGCCACCCTCTGGGCCTCTGGTGTAAGGGGCACATGAAGAAGGGGCTTTAGCCAATGTAGTGTATTTTTTTAAAAAATAAATGCAAGCAAACCTTTTAAAGAAGCTTTCTTCAGAACTTTCATTGCATACAGCTGTCCAGCATCAGGACCAAAAATTTTCCTCACGAGGAAAACCTAACCAGAGAACAGAGATTAAATATTTTACAAATGCTTACGAATTATGCACAACGATTGCTTTTGAAAAGCTAATGTGAACTTGTAATCCCTTAGTGCAGATGTTTTCAAATTTTTTGGGTCCATGGCTCTCTTGTCAAACTACATTATTTCTGCAGCACCGCTGTGGGGCTCAAAAGCCCAGTTATGTCACCCCTTGCCTACAGAGCCAGCAGCCCCTCATCCCTCCATTGTGGAGGGTTCTCTCAGCCTCCTTCTCCTCTCCTTGGCAGTCCTCTGGGCAGCTACAGCTGCCCCCCCCCCGGTCTCTGAGTTGCCCCCCTGCCCCAAAGTGAGGTGCCTCCTCACACTGCACCAGAGGGGCCTAGGAAGCACCCCCTGGCCAGCCCCAGAGGCACCATTCACCTGAAGAGCTTGTAGTCAGGACTGCTGCAACAGCTGTGCAAGCCTTTGGGAGGCAGAGTTGCAAGAGGGCATCAGAGGAGGGAGGGAAGGAAAGTGGGACAGAGGCCAGTGTTGCCCGCGGCACCCCTGACCATCATTCAAGGCACCTCGGGGTGCCACAGCACATTGGTTGAAAACCACTGCTTTAGGGAAAGGTCTTGTTTCCCAAATCTATAAAGTACTAAACTGAAATGTTGCCACCTCTCACAATTATAAATAGAATAGAATAGAATAGAATAGATTCTTTATTGTCATTACACAAGTGCAACATTGCACAAAGTGCAACGAAATTGGATGCCATCCCTTAAAACAACAAAAGCAAAACAACAACAACAACCAAACAAACCACATTCCAGCCACACCCACACCAACACCCATCAAACTCCCAGGTCACACTATCGAGTTACAGCATTCAAAAAGGCCACAGCTCTTGGATAGAAACTGTTTTTCAGTCTATTTGTCTTTGACTTGATGTTTCTATATCTCCTGCCAGAAGGCAGTAGTGCAAACAGACTGTGTCCCGGGTGAGATGAATCCTGCAGGATGTTATTTGCTTTCCTAAGACAACGGGAACCGTACAGTTCTTCCAAAGATGGGAGAGGATGACCAATAATCCTTTGGGCTGTGGTTATGACCTTCTGGAGCACCTTCCTCTCCCTAGCTGTACAACTGGAGAACCAAGCACAAATACAGTATGTAAGAATGCTCTCTATGGAGCCTCGGTAGAAGGACACCAGCAGTCTCTCACTCAGATTGTTCTTCTTTAAAAGTCTGAGGAAATAAATTCTCTGCTGGGCCTTCTTCACCAGAGCAGTGGTATGTGCACTCCAAGTCATGCCCTGATCGATAGTTACTCCCAAAAACCTGAATTCCGCCACCCTCTCCACCCGTTCCCCGTTGATATACAAGGGCTGAATGTCCGCCTTTTTTTTCCTGTAATCCACCACCAATTCCTTGGTCTTAGCCGTATTAAGAGCCAGATTGTTCTCTCCACACCAAACACAGAGCCGCTCCACCTCGTCCCGATAGGCAGACTCATCCCCTCCTGAAATGAGCCCTACCACCGTAGTGTCATCAGCAAACTTGATGATTTTGTTGCTGGAATAGATGGCTGTACAGTCATACATATAGAGAGCATAGAGCAGGGGACTCAACACACAACCCTGTGGTGAGCCGGTGTTAAGGCTAAGGGCTGTGGACATATGTGACCCTACTCTAACCCTCTGAGAACGTTCTGACAAAAAATCCAAAACCCAGAGACAGGTGGAGTTGGAGAGTCCAATCGCCTCTAGCTTGGACACCAGTCTATGGGGGAGGATAGTGTTAAAAGCAGAGCTAAAATCCACAAACAGCAGCCTCACATAACTCCCCGGCTGCTCCAGATGGGACAGAGCAGCATGGAGAGTGGTATTGATGGCGTCTTCTGTGGATCTATTTGCTCTGTATGCAAACTGGTAGTTGTCAAAAGTTGATGGAAGACAGGAAATAATGTGACGGCGCACCAGTTTCTCAAAACACTTCATGATGATTGGAGTCAGTGCAACTGGTCTGTAGTCATTCAAACTACTGATTGTGGATTTTTTAGGCAGAGGGACAATAGTTGACGACTTCAGGCAGGGTGGGACAATAGACTGGTGTAAGGACTTATTGAAGATCTTAGTAAAGACCCTCGCCAGCTGATCCGCACAGCCCTTCAACACCTTTCCAGTGATGCCATCAGGTCCAGCCGCCTTCCTCGGATTCGCCATCCTCAATACCTGTCTCACCTCATGTTCCTCTACCGTGAATGAGGGGCCCCTATGGGCTGGTGGCTGTAATACCGGCGTCTCAGGTGGCTCCTTCTCGAAGCGAGCAAAGAAGAGGTTAAGCTCCTCCGCCAGCAAAGGGTCACCGTCGACAGCACCAAGGTTAGGTTTGTAGTTGGTAATATGCTGAATCCCCTGCCACATCTGTCTTGTGTTGTTGCTCCTTAAATTATCCTCAATCCTCAGCCTATAATCCAATTTTGCCCGTCGAATACCCCTCCTCAAGTTTGCTCTTGCTACACTGTAAAGCTGCACCTCGCCTGACCTGAAAGCCCTGTTCCTTTCTCGCAACAGGCACTGGACCTCTCTATTCATCCAGGGTTTCTGATTGGGGTAAAACCGGATGGATTTATTTACTGTGACAGTGTCTGTGCAGTGATTGATATAGCACAGAACTGCCGCCGTGTGCTCCTCCAGGTCTGAACTATCGAAAATATCCCAATTGGTTCTCTCAAAACAGTCCTGCAGCTGGTGAATAGCACCTTCAGGCCAGATTTTAACAGATTTTAATATTGTGGGAGCCCGTTTCCTGAGTGGGATATATGCTGGTACCAGGAACAGAGACATATGGTCGGACTGGCCCAAGTGTGGCAGCTGTAAAGCCCTATAGCCGTGATTTACATTCGAATAAACTTTATCCAGTGTCTTGTCCCCTCTTGTGGGACATTTCACATGCTGATAGAGCGTTGGGAGCACTGTTTTAAGTTCAACATGGTTGAAGTCTCCCGCAATGATGTGCACAGCTTCAGGATACTTGTCTTGCTGGCTGCTGATAAGGTCCTGCAGACATCCCAAAGCCAAGTTGGCATTGGCATCTGGTGGCACGTACACACCAGTTAACATAACAGCTGTGAACTCCCTAGGGAGATAGGCTGGTCTACATTTAACAGCCACATATTCCAAATCCGGTGAACAGTGACTGCATGATAGGAAAAAGATTTGGGTGATCTATTAGATTATACCTTATGGAACAGAATCCAGGTAAAAGCCCCTTTTAAATCTGCTCCAGTAAGAACCAGGAAAATGCACTTAAAGGTATGCACTAGTTGTATAATTTTATTATTGAGTAAAATTACTAAAAAAGCATTAGCTATGTATTGGAGAAATTGTAATGTCACACGGTCATTTATCCACCTGCAGTGGCAATACCCCCAAGTCTTTTTGCTTTGGAAAAAAGTAGGCCTTACCACAAAACAAGATACCCACTTTGATCCTAAAACAGCACTTCTATCATACTACTCACAAACTGATCAACAGCTTTCCCAGAAGGATCTTATTACTCACCTGATCAATGCAGCATGGCTTACAATTGCAAGGTATTAGAAGACTGTAAATGCAGACCTATTTTGAGACCTCACACCCCCGGGACTTAACATTAATGGACAAAGTGACAAACCATGTCTAAGAGAGTTGAATAGACAAGAAAACCACTGCTTTTCAATCAACCTGGCACAGTTTTATTACATATGCAACATTGATAGAACATGGTTATAGACATCCTAGGACAAATGACAACTTGCGGAATTATACCTGTTTAAAAACTTAAATGTTATTACATATACATTTGGTGCTTCAGGAGGTGTTTAAGAAGTAAAAATGATAAAATATTTTTAGGGGAGTGATTACTGAAGTACGCACATGGTACATGCTCCAGTGTTGAAGTCAAAATACAAACTTGCTTTCAGGCAAGCAGTAAGTCTGCAGATAAGGAGAATCCCAGGACCACCAAGTGGCCAATATGATAATATGTCAGATTAGAATAATCCTTCCCTTACCTAGCTGACCTGGTTTTTTCTAGTCCCAATTCTACAAACTGAATACTATAGAAATAAAAACTTAATGCAGGCAACCCCAATTTATGCACGGGTTACGTTCCAAGGCACCACGCATTTAAGTGAAACTGCATATATTTGGTATGAGCTTTCGTGTGCATGCACACTTCTTCAGATACTGAAGAATGCATGCACACGAAAGCTCATACCAAGAACTAACTTAGTTGGTCTTTAAGGTGCTACTGGAAGGAATTTTTTTTGTTTTGACTATGGCAGACCAACACGGCTACCTATCTGTAACCGCATATATTTGAAGCAACATTGAAAAAGCCTGAAAACTTTGTTTTGTCCCCACCCCATTCTGCCCATTTGTGACATTTTCAGGGCACTTCCGGATTCAGCACAATGTGCATGGGCACAATCGTGCACATACTGAACCGCACAAATGGGGGGGGTTGCTTTTATATCCACAGCATGAACTAATTAAGAGGCTGTGTACTCATGTAAAATAGAGGCTAACTTGTACCTACTCTTCCATGTGACCTATAAATATTAAACACAAAGGTGAACTATTGTGTTTCTGGGGGAAGAGGAAGGGAACTGACAGAGAACCACATAAAAATACTTGCTTTGAAATATTACTTAGACTTTAAATTATTTGCAAACCTGTAAAATTTGCCAGTTTGACTTCTTCCCAGGTGCTTAGAATATATGAAAGCTCCCACTCTTAATTCATTTACTCTGATACTGGTGCAGAGGCTAACTATGTCAAGTCACACCATGCTTAAAAAAGATTATGAACTACCCTTAGCCCCCTTCCCCCAACTTTACTTTCATTTTTATAACCTAGGCATGCTATAACATTATTTCAGTCCAAGAGTTTTAGCTGAAACTAGTTAGCAAACCAACTTTCAATAATAGCTGTAAACTGTCATTTGGATCTAACAGCTGGTAACAAAACTGCTGATTCAGATGTAACACTTAACCATAGTTAACAATGAAACATAGCGGGAAGGAAAGTATAAAATAGCAGTGGATAACCTTTGACCCATAAGGCACTGATGAACTTCCAAGTCCCATCAGCCCTAGCAGGCATGGCCAATGACAAGGGATAATAGGAATTGTAGTTCAGCAAAATCTGCTGAGTCCCTATGCCTGATATAAAAGAAGATGATATAAGCGGGAAGGGAACACTCCTGATCCTCTAACCATTGATTGGTTAACTTCTGCATTAGGCCTATAAATAATATAATCAATTTTCAAATTGTTATAAAATGTTAATATCATATAAAAATATTTCCACACCACCCAATTTTGAATTTTCAGTGTAAAACTTATCTATAAGTGAAACTGCTAATGAAAAATAAAAATGCATTATTTAAGTTGTGTTGAATCTAGCAACTCATTCCACAAACACGCACATTTTAGTGTTTTAATAGTAGTGGAGATGAATACACATCCGTTTAAGGGTCACTTTCATAGCTTTCCAATTATTAGTTATATGCCACCCATCTGACTGGGCTGGCCCAGCCACTCTGGGCGTCTTCCAACAAATTATAAAACCACAGTAAACATCAATTGTGTTGGCTAATCATTTACGCTCAGTAAATCAAATATGCCTTTTCCATCTTCCACGAAAAGCAATATGTACTGTTTCATCATAAAAATGACTAAAATACTTTCGAAAAGTAAAACGTCTTGTGAAAGCAGTGGAGAAGGTATTAGTGTATGTCCTTTGTAAATTTATTATAATAACTCTCCAACATAGATAGCTCACTATACAGTCATTAAATACAAATCAGGTATGTCTTTAGATGAATGAACAGGACTAGAAATCAAATATGACATGAAATTGCATTATTTAGAATAAACAGTTCTAGTTTTGTCTTACCTTTCCAAATGATCCTTGACCAAGGACTTTAAGTAATTCAAATTGTGCAGGATCTGCTTTTTCACATCCTTCTTTCACATGATGAGTAATAGGTATCTCTTTCACAACTCCTTCATCCTATTCAAATAAAAATGAATAATAACGACCACTGAAATAATAATCTTTACTGCCCCCATCTGTCTACTTTACTGTTTGTGAAGGGGAAATTATTTATAATTTATTATTCATACAATCTACAGCTAGTGCTATAAAAATAAGCTGCTCTGCCCATAGATGTATAATCATAAACAATATACCACTACCACCTATCAGAAGCCCTACTACAAATTATCCAAAAAGTGAGGATGGGTGATGGGTTGAATGTTAGCCAACAAACTGAAGCTGAATCCTGAAAAGACAGGAGTGTTATATGTTCAAATTTCTGATGTCGAGAAGGAGAGAAAACAGCCTGTTCTGGATGAGGTTGCACTCCCCTGGAAGGAGCATGTTCGTAGCCTAGGACTATTCCTAGATCCAGCATTGTCACTTGAGGCCCTTGGTGGCTGGGTTTGCCTATTTTCAGCTACAACTGATTTGCCAGCTACAGCCTCTTTTGGACAGAGATTATTTGGTCACTGTACTCCATGCTCTGGGAAATTCCAATGTGCTCTACATGAGGCTGCTGAAGTAAACTTCAACTAGTCCAAAATGCAGTGCCCAAAGTATTGGCTGGGGTTGCTTTTAGAGCACATATGATCTATATAACCCCTTGTTTTAAAATAGCTGCCTGGGCCACCAGTTCATTACCAGGCTCAAGGTGCTCATTTTAGTATTTAAGCCCAAAAAAACATGGGCTCCAAATATCTGAAAGACCGCTTCCTTCCTTACAAACCCGCTTGGTTGTTAAGATCAGCAGAGGGGGGGGCCCTTGGTAGTTACACTTCCTGCAAAAGTTTGGTTGCCAATGGCCTAGGAGAGGGCATTCATTCCCTGTGGCATCCACTTAGTGGTAGAATTCCCTCCCCATGGAGGTATGTCTGGCCTCTTCACTATACAACTGTTCAGGAATACTGATGACACACCTCTTTACCCCATGGCCTTTGGCACCTGAGATTCATGTTTACAGAAACCCACCTATTCTGGTGAATGTAGAATGTTTTAATTGTTTTTAATTCCGAATTTCAAAGTGTTGTAACACACCCTGAGACCTGCTGGTGAAGAGCAGTGATAAATAATATTTAAATAATAATAATAATGGGAAGGACAATTCAGGCCTCTATGATCCTTTCATAGTAGACTGTTCCTTTTTCTATTGAAAAGCTCCTGTTTTTAGGAAACCACTGAGTGGGGAGGATACTGCAGGCAATAGTTACAACATTGTCCAAGTCCTCTCAGAGACATAGTCTCTAGCAGATCCTTATACTGGTTGTGAGGAAGCAACAAGATTATCAGACCTTGAGAGTAATTCATTGTCTACAAACAGAAAATAAATGCTTAGGATATGAAGCATGTTGCATGTTTTATCAACATAAAATTACAAATCACTGTGCAAGGTAGTGTAAGTTTGGGACTATGGGTAAAATGTTGCTTAAATGGGTAAAATGTTTGACAAAGTGTTTACAGTTTAAGTAGGCTAAGTGGTTAGAAGTTAGGTGTGAAACGAGGTGAATAAAACAGAGATGACAGTCTCATAGTCATGGGGGAAGGAGAAGGCTAGGAATGCCTTTCACCACTTTCCTCTGGTTTGCCAACTACAGCTGTTCCTGGACAAGGATAGCTTAACCACTGTCGTCCACACATTGGCAGCTTCACGGCTAGATTACTTTAATAGGTTCTATATGGGGCTGCCCTTGGGTCTGATTCAGCAGCTCCAGCTGGTGCAGAATGCTAGTATTTAGTTTATTTGGTCTGCCATCTTGATTCAACATGGCACTTGGTGTCTAAACATAGGAAGTCTGCCTCTTCCACCTTGGGAATCCTCATGCCATGTTCAGTGAAAATATTTTCAGAGGCATCCAAAACTGCATAGGTTGCAACTGTCCTGCCAAATTTGGCAATGCTATCTTCAGAGCCATCCAAATTAGTACTGGTTGGAACTATTGGTTCAAATTTGGCAAAGTCATGGTAAACTGGGTAACAATATCTTCAGAGGCATACAAATGGATGCTTAATGCCAAATTGGGCAAAATCACACCAGTCATGTTTCTGTCCAGCACCTTGATTCAGAATGACAGCCAGAAGCTCCACGTTAACAAAAATTGCTGTCCCAACCTCAGGAACCTTCATGCCAAGTTTGAATCAGTGCAGTTTGTACCAGTCATACGAAAAATCAGACCAAGTCGTGCCCAAGTCACATTTTGGACTATCATCCTAATTTGAAAGTGCATCTAGTGTTCCAAGGTTGATAAAAAAAAATAGCTGCTCCCACGTCAGGAACAATTGTGCCAAGAATGAAATTGGTGCAGTTTGCACCCACTGCACTGAAAATCCAGTGAAGTTACACCAAAGTCATGTTTCAAGCTGTCATCTTGATTCAAAATGGCATCCAGTGTTCCAACATCAACAAAAACCACCACCCTCACCTCAGAAGCCTTCATGGTTTAGCAATAATAGCTCAAGAGGCATCTGCATGGAGAATAAACAAACCACTTTCCAAAATATATAGTAGATAATGAATATATACAATGTTCTCAGACATTTACTGCTTGAATTTCAAAAGATGGTATTAATCTACAAAGCAAGTTATTACCTCAATATGCATAAAACACCTTAGACACCTCAGTACCTGAATAACTGTTCCAGTTCCTCACAGTGATGAGAAATATAGAAAATAAAAGGCTTACATTTTCAAAACTGAATATTTAAGATGTGTAACAACAAATCTGCTTTGTTTTTAAAGAACTCAGTTTCTTCCAACAATGCACTGAAGATATAAACACCACTAAGAACTTCAATTGTATATAAATGCTGACATCAGAGCCTCCATCTTTCCCTCACATAAGATTAGAAGGCATCTAAGTACTGTCCTGACACATATTAAAAATTCATCCCTCCTTTTCTTAAGGAAAAAACTGTTAAAATGCTAGTATTCATGTTGCCTAGTGACAGAAAAAACAGAAGTCATATCAATAAGCTCTAATAAAATCTTTAATAGCTACTAGTCACGTTTTGGACTATCATCCTAATTTGAAAGTGCATCTAGTGTTCCAAGGTTGATAAAAAAAATAGCTGCTCCCACGTCAGGAACAATTGTGCCAAGAATGAAATTGGTGCAGTTTGCACCCACTGCACTGAAAATCCAGTGAAGTTACACCAAAGTCATGTTTCAAGCTGTCATCTTGATTCAAAATGGCATCCAGTGTTCCAACATCAACAAAAACCACCACCCTCACCTCACAAGACATTCAACAATGCTGTTTTCATATTTCAATAAACTGGAACATTTGCATGAAAAACCATTTTAGTCATTCATCTGTTTCTATTTTCTTCTTCCACCTTAAGTTACTATCCTATGACATCACAATTTGTTTCTGTGGAACTTGGCAACAGTCATTAAATAAGAATTCAACAGGAAAAAGCAATCATACAATTGTCCATGGAATAGTCTCCTGTAATATAAATCCAAGGTCCTGGCTGAGTAATTTTAGATCCCATGTGCTATTCAGTTATATTCATTAATTTGAAAAAACTACATTCAGTGTATCCTAAGAATTGAGTAGCAACCACGTAATGTAACAAAAGAAAAGAACTTGGTCACTCAACAGCTGTTCAGTGTGGGCAGCAGCAAAAGAAGCAGAGCATAAGTATCAGGGAGAGAAACCAGGTTTTATCAACAGTATAGTGCTCTCAATCACTTTACTTTTGTTTCAGATTTAGCCTTCTGCACATTTTGTTCCTTGGACTACAGCTCTTTAAACCTCTGTTGTCTTCTACTTTCTTCCTGTTATTGTAGTCCTATCTTCATCTACCTACAAGTTTGATCTGCTAAAGCCAACTTCCTTTAGTTTCTCAACTCCAGCCCCTTAATTAAGATGTCACAATCCAAAACATCTGCAACATAAATGAAGGTCCAGGGGGGTAGTCCAGAATATTGTACCAATTCTGCTGCAGGTTGTCAAGCTGGTCCCACAGTACTATTACTTCTTCTTCTTCCTCCACCCTGACTTTAAAGCCAAAAAAATCAGATCACACAACCACCATCACAGCCAAAGTTGAGCAACCAAGCTATGAACAAGTCATCCATCCTTTTCAGGTCCTGATTTGAAGAACTTGCTCTGTCTGCCCTATGATCTATAAACACCAACCTCACTCACTGTTTCCTTGAATACTCATTGTTATGTAATTTAGAACTGCATGTGGTATTTTATTGCTTGTAAAATAAAGTATCAGGTATGAATATTATGGTGCGTGTGTTTTTAATGCAGATACTCTCCTTGCCTAAACTAAGACTTCTTCCGTTTTAAAATGAAGCACACTACTAATAAGCAGGAGTCCGCAGCTTAATAAAGGCGGCAACAATTTTGCACTGAGGTTCCATTCCTGGCCCCCACACGTATCAGCAGAACATGGATAAGCACCTCCTGCCCCTATTCAGCCCTCATTTTGCCTTCTTCCAGGTCCAAAAGGACCTGTGCATTGGCAGTCACACATCAATTGGACACACCTAAAATGGTTGCTGCCTCTATCACACTGCTTCAGTAACAAAAGAAGCCACAACTAGCAGAAGCCACCTTCTAACAAAGGTGAGACAATAGTTCCGTCAGATCTAGAGTCCACAATCCTAGGACTACTTGGCACCTGGCCCTGTCCTCCAAAGCTCTTATTTTCCCACTTCTTTCCTGTTCATGCAGCCTTTTATATTACCCAGGCTTTACATCAGCTCCTATACAGCCCGCTGCCAAGTGGACTCCACTTCCTTTAGTTACTCTATTCTTGACTCCAGTTCCTCTCCATCCCCAGCATAGAACTATTCCTCAATTCTAGACTTCTTCAGAGTTGCCTTTCACCTAAATTTAGCTATCTCTTTTACACTTTGTAACAAAGCACTCTTGGCTACAACAGCAAGCTGCTTATCAAAAAGCAGGACTGAATCAAAAATAACTCCCAGGTTCCAAAGCTGTTCCAGTGGGGAGATTACAGCCCCATAAATTATAGGAAGATCTATCATCACTTCTTACTTGTCTGAATTCAACTTCAATCTGTTACCCCTCTTCCACTTGACCATAGCTTCTGGACACTGATTTAGGACAAAGACAACAGCATTTGGAAACTTAGTAACTTAAATTTAGAGCTGGATGTCATCAGCATATTTGATTAAGACTGTTGTAAAACCACTAATGAAGAAACTCTCTTCAAACCTTGAAGATTTTAACCAATCATCAGCTGGTCAAAAATACCCACAAATCACCTTCTTAGGCAAGCTACTTGAGCAAGAGGATGAAACTGATTGTCTCGTTTCATTTCAGTCTAGTTCTAGGCTTGTTCTTGGCCCAGAAACTGCCCTAGCCAACCTAATGGATAACATATGCCAGGATAAGGGAAGTGCTTCCAGAGGAAACGAAGTACTGACAGTTATTTATAAAGCACTTCACAACACTAGGCACCTACTGGAATGGCCCCTCACCCACCAAATACCCTGTTGGAATGATTCCAGAGATAGGGGAAGGCAGGCAAAGACCAGCTCCAGGGCTGGGCTGCTCTTATTTTAAGCTTGTGTGGCTTTTAACGTATTAATTACATTTTATTAATATTGAAAACTGGACTGGGGACATGTCTCAAATATTCTCTATCTCCAGTCAGACACAGAAATCTTTTTCTGCCTTTGTCCATGTTTCAATGCCTTCCAAACTAACAACTTCCCTTCCCTTCACAAAATATGCACTGTAAGGATTCTGTGTTGCCTCAGCAATCATAATGTTTGTAAATGATATTTCATGCCATCACATCATCTGAGCCAATCTGTGTATTGCCACCAAGTGCAAATAAGGTATACTGCCAGACATTAGAGGAATGGGGAATATGAAACATCCCCTACAACAGTCTTCCCTAACCTGGTCCCCTTCAGATGTTGCTGGACTATAACTACCATCATCCCTGACCATTGAAAAAGCTAGCCAGGCTGATGGAAAGACACCAGGTTGAGGAATCCTGCTCTTAATGTATGCCTAATATCCAGATAGCACTCATTGCCTAATATCCAAGATAGCACTCATTGCCTAATATCCAAGATAACACCCAGGCTGTGCATTCCACAGATTGCTTATGTAGTCACTATATATAGCACTAATATATAAACCAAAGAAGAAGCCAACTAATAAAAAAGAATTAGACCCAATAGCACATCACTCAGATGCCAGTACTAATGTTAGAGACCTAGAAGTTTTGCTTACAGGTCAAGCATTAGAAAACAAAAAACAGTATTTAAAATAAAATACTTTCACTGGATCCCCTGAGAAAGAATTTGGAAATTATTTAAGGCATCAGAACTTTACTATATGATTATCAGTCAAATGAAAATCAGAGCAAAGTAACACCACACAGAAAGTCTAAGGAAATTAAATACAATCCAGAACACTGTTTGTATACCTTTACTGGACAGAATGCCTATAAAATTAACATATTTGCCATAAACACACTTGAATCTATTTCAGGCTGGCTGGTACTGCTCAAAAGTAATTTAAACATCAGAAAAAGTGGTGGTGATGATGATGATGGTGATTCATTTATTTATACCTCACCTTTTTCCCTGGCGGGACTCAAGGCAGCTTACAGATAAAAACAAAGGCCACTAAAAACATAGTGTCTTATGATAAAACATTTTAAGAACTATTTTTTTCTTTCAACCAGGCTTGTAACTAGCACCATCTAAATTGCCTATGGCAAATAAGCATGGTTCCATTCCAAGTGATCAGGAAGAGCTTTGCATAACAGGCCCTCTCCATTTGTTAAGGCTATAAATGACTAACCAGCACATGTAAGCAGGCAGGCAAAAAATAGTTCTGTGAACTATTAAGTATTAAGCATTTATTTTCAAGACTGCTTTCAGTAACAATAAAAATAGATTCTAAAAATTATAATAATTTGTAGTTACTTCTTCCTTCTGAAACAAAATGTCATTCAGGCTGCCTGCTGCCAGTATACGGCTTTCCTCACCCAAACAAGCATCAGATATGTATCCAACACATATGGAACAAAAATTCATTAAAAATACTACTTGATTTGCATCAATACTGCAAATCTTGAAAGTCAAACTATTTCAAGCAAGGTTACATATCATCTATGTGCATCACCTATGTCATACACTCGGGCACGTAGGAAAAAAATCCTGAACTTTTCTACTGAAGAAGCAGGGTAAATTTCTATTACTTCTCTTTTACCTCTCATTTTGTCCTCCAAGTTTTCTCCTAGTTTGGTTCCTAAATAAAGCATCCAGAAGAAAATATGAAACTCAAAATATTTTGATGGCAGTTCCCACCCTTAAGAACTTATGCATGAACTTACTTCATAGGAATATGGTTCTCCTTCCTCCATAGGTTCATCCACCACTCTAATGCCATTCAGCTGCAGAAATAAATGAAAAATGAGGTTTAAACAGAAAACTTGAATAGAATTGCAGAATATATCCAATACAAGTGTACTGGTCATCACATAATCCCTAATTAAATATCTTATTTAATAACCTTTCCAGAACACTGCTCAGAAGGGCAGAAATCTTAACTTCCCCCATTAATTTCAATAATGTACAATTGCCTAACACTCCTCTTAAAAAATGCATGTTTTCTGCAGAGAAAAAGACATAAAGCTGAACAACCAGAAGTTTCAGATTATTTATACCTCTGGGTAGTATAAATACTTTAGATAATGTCAAATGGGTATTTTTAAAATTAAAACACCAATTAGTACGGATTCCTGTTCTGGAATTATAGTTGGAACCTGATTTATTTTTTGTTTTGTTTTTCTTTTTAATCAATTACTTAAATTGCCTTGATTTAAAAGTCAAATCACCCAATTGACAGTTTTCAAATAGGTAAAGGTCATAAAAAGGGGAAATAACTGTCCGTCCATACGGCTTCTATGGTTCAAACTAGAAGAAGGAAATTTATTAAGAAGCATTAGAAAAATTATTAAAAGTTCAACAGCTAAGGAAGAATATGGCTTTCAATGAGTAATCATGTATGCATGTTTTGTAACAGAACTGCCTGTTTGAAAGCAAGATAATTAGCAAGATGGCTCAGAGGGGTCTGCCTCTACGAAGGAAACTGCCCTATACAGAGTTAGATCATTGGTTTATCTAGTTCAGTATTGTCCACACTGACTAGCAGAGGATTTCCAAAGCTTTTGATTGAGTTTCTCCCAGCCTCACCTGGAGACACAAGGAGCTGAACCAGGGATCTTCTGCACGCAAAGCAGATCTACAGCAGTTCTCTACTAAATCTAATTTTATTACAATTGCCTCCATTTAATAAGAGCCGTAACTGTGCTAAGTTACGAGTTGCTAAATTTGATTAAACAGTTGAATCATACAAACAAGGATATGCACTTGCTCCGACATGTAGAATAGTAATAATTAAAAACTGGAAAAACCTGCTAAAGACAATTATTCATTTTGCTATATTAATTACCAAACAAGTCACCCTCCCTTGGTGTGCATACATATATATCATTACAACAAAACTACAAAACTTCCTGAGAAGTTCTTCCCCATTTTATCCTCATAACAACCCTGAGAGGCAGCATAGGATAACAGATAGCAATTTGCCTATGGGACTGAATGGCTATTTGAACTCTTTTGTCAAATGTTTTTCCAATGGAAAATTATAGAATTTAATACACTTACAAAAGAGAAGATATATATTACTTGGAAAATTATTTCCACTGCAAGAAAAAAAGGGAGACTCTTCTCATTCAGCCAATCTGGATTCAGTCCCAGCATCAGCAGTCAACACAGAGGGCACCTGCTGAAGCCCACTGCTGAGTCAGTCAGCTACTGCTCTCTGTGGAAGCTGTGGCCAGGCTGAATTCCCAGTTGAGCAGCAATAATACACAGACAATTTCCCACTACAAGGCATTCCTGGCGCCTGTGCTCAGACCATATCTGAAGCTCTGTGTGGCTTCCTGTACTAAGATATTGAGTTTGAGTGTTGCTGGGAACAGGAGATTGCAATCTGTTGCACAAATCCTCAGCGGGATTTGTAAGGATCTTGCCTGCCTCCTTCTCAAAAAACGGTGTAAGTCTATTTAGACTCTAAGTTTACTTCATTGAATCCTTCTCACACTTTCAGTTTAGTAAAGTGTAGAATGTGTTATGCTATAGCAAAGATAACTTTGTTCAGTTCACACATAGAGCATTGTCTCCCAGGTAGCACTGTTAATCTTAGATCTAGTTTTAAAAGTGCCCAAAGGCAAACTTGGAAAATACATGGCCATGCCACACTTTCAATAAGGTAAAAGCAAATACAGGAATCATATAGACTTCCCAAAGTATACTGGTGAGTAAGAAGGGCACTTAGTTTCTCCTGCACCTGCAAAGTCTTCCTTGCAAATGCATTCCAGCATTAAAACAGAAAGACTGTGTTGAGAACCAAACGTTTTTCTTGTAACATCTAGTTGGCCCTAAACTTTGACTTCATTTAAAGAAGGGGAGAATACTTCAAACAGTGCTTTTGAGAAACACGTTAAGGCAACTCCTGCAGTCCCACTTCAGATGAAACAGGAGTATAGAGACTGCCTTAAAACACTTCTCAAAAGTGCAGTTTGTGCACTTCTCTGGCAAGACCATACATGGACAGCAGCACAGTTACCACTGCTGCTCAGCCAACTGCTGGAGAAGTGTAGGAACTGCTTCAAACAGTGCTTTTGAAAAGCATTTTAATCCCCACCCTTCAGCAGATAAGTGGAGAGTAAATCCTTCTGCCTTGCCCATGCAAGCTTGTTCCCTGCTGGGAGCAGGGCATGCAGCCAAAGCAAAATTAAACCCTGACCTCCCACCCATCAGCTAACATCATCAGTCACATCAGTGGATGGGCATGGTTAAGGGAAATGGTCTTTCAGGTCAAGATTGGTTCATAGACCAGAGGTTCCTCACCCTTGCCTTAGGAGGTCTGCTCAGCAAGTATGCTTTGTCTTGCAGCCACCACCAACTGATCTGAACAGCTTCAAAAGCATCAGCAGTTAATTTCTACTGAAAGAAGTTAAATACATTCACTGCATTCTAATATCTGGATTTGGTTGCTCGAATATTACTTTTCAATCTCAAACAACTAACTTCATTATCAACACAGACATAACAAAGTTATCATGTAAACCAAGTCCACTATTTGATTATTATTTTCAACAAAAGCTTAATATTCAAAGCACCATTCAATCACCACAAAGAACAAATTAAATGCTTGCTATCAATAAAACAGCAAGTCTCAAAAGCCTATTGTGTTTACGTTCACACGTAAAGCAATTAAGCATTTACCTAAAATAAAATACCTTTCTGCAGATGCCAGCCCAATCTACCCTGTAAGTAGTAGCAGCTTATATAAATTTTGATTATTCTTACTAAATATGTTTTAAATAATCTATTTTATATACATTAAATTTCTTCTTGCACAACAAAAAATCATTTCTTGTTTTGAAACCCTAAATCCATTGATACATTAGCTCCCCAATAAAGACACATTTCCAGCAAACTGAAAAGTTAGGGCAATTGTTTTTCAATGCAGAGACAAACAAGGGGCTAGTGAAAACAAATACTCATATGGAAGAGAGAGTTCTGCAACATTAATTGAACATCCCCCCTCCTCATATTGGGGTCCATAAACTGAGTTTGAATTCTGGAAAGACGGAGGCATGGTGAGTGGCTCCTCGATCTGAGAAATAGTCAGTTGTCTGTATTGAATTGGTTCAACTCCCTCTGGTGGAGCAGGTGCACAGTCTGGGGGTACTCTCTCACTTCTAGGCCTCTAAAATATGTATCATGTATGTGGGGGGTGGGGACGTACTATGAAACTAATGAAGCTTAAGCTTCAGGGCCCCTAATCTCAGAAGGGCCCCTGAAACAACTTTAGTCCACATTGCTTTAAAAAAATGGCCTAGTAGACCCAATTTTTGCTGCACGACTCAAATTGAATTTTTTTTTTATGTATATATTTCAACAATCTCAAGGTTTGAGAGTCAACAGCACAGATGTTTTGAAGGAGTTGTGATCTATCATAGAACAACCCCATTGAAGAAGATAATAGATTTTTAAAAGTTTAAGTGAGGTATGGAGAACCTTTGACCCTCCAGATGTTGCTGAACTACAACTCCCAACAGCCCCAGCAAGCATGGTCAATGGACTAGGATGATGGGAGCTGTAGTTCAGCAACTAAGTTTCCCCACACCTGTTCTAGGTACACAATGTCAACAGGATGACCTATATCTATATGCCTGCGGACACTCTGTATACTTTCTTTTACAAATCCTGCACTGGACAGGATTGTGTTGTTGCTAACACAAACTGGGAATCAATGGGGTAAGTAACAACAGGTCAGATTTAGACAAGACCCAAAACTCAGAACTACATTGCCTGAAAATAGGTATAACACATGGACTTCAGTGTGAGCTTGAGTGTCACTATGGCTTCATCAAAGTTTTTTTTCAAAAGCTTGAGAAAACCTTTCTTCAAAAGCTTTAGAAAACTATGGTTGTTGCACTTTTTAACTTAGCTCCACAAAATTCCCACCACTCTAGAATTTTATTGGAAGGGGCAAAGCATAACCACCAAATATTGTCCACCAATATTTTGGACCGGGGGAGAAGAGAATAAGTAATGCAAGTATTGTACCCCTTCCCTGGTTGAATCATTAAGGCTTTCAAAGGTGCTTCCCCTTGGCTTTAATCAACCAATACCTGGGATAGCACTGTGGCTCCCAGCCAGAGGGAATAAGTGAGGTAGTTTGCCTCTTGCTGCTTGTATAGGGGCAACTAATGCTTGCTCTAATATTCACCTATGATGCTGCAGCAACTTTTTCCCAATCTAGTCTAACTTTAGTCAAATTAATTTTTTTCAGCATTTAATGAATTTAAAAGTTGGCAATAGAAGAAGTGGCTGCCCTTTTCCCCCTTCTTCTTCTGGAATTTATTGTAAATATAAATGTCATAATATTTTGGAAAACTATCTGTAAATAACAAATTACAAATCTAGTAAATAAGATATATAGAAGGTTGAACTGTGAAATGATAGGTTTCAAAGATCAAATACCACCTTTCAAATCCCTTTAAACACTATGCTTTTCAGTGGATTTATTTCACACATTCAGCTGCAAGTCCTCATCTTGAGCTATCAAGTAAATGTTCGTGCACATGTGAGACATCGGCCTATAACCATAATAGAAGTAAAAAAAATTTTCCTTCCAGTAGCACCTTAAAGACCAACTAAGTTAGTTCTTGGTATGAGCTTTCGTGTGCATGCACACTTCTTCAGATACACACATCTGATGTGTATCTGATGTGTATCTGAAGAAGTGTGCATGCACACGAAAGCTCATACCAAGAACTAACTTAGTTGGTCTTTAAGGTGCTACTGGAAGGGG